GACGCAGCTGGAGTATTTGAGCCGTTACCGCTGCGCAGGAATGAAATTTTGATTTCAGAAGTGGGGGGGACACAGCAGGCTTGTGCGGATTTGGGGTGGGGGTGTTATGTAAAGACCCCTTGACACGTCACGTGCCCATCTCAATAATTTTTCCATCCTCTCTCTCTCTCTCTCTCTCTCTCTCTCTCTCTCTCTCTCTCTCTCTCTCTCTCTATATATATATATATATATATATATATATATAAGTTAAAAAATTTACAACTCTATTATTATTTTTATTTATTATCATTATTGAAGTGCAGTTTTGGCTGTTGACAATGGATAGGCCATTGTATTTATTGTTTTGGGTCTTTTTTATTGTTTTTGGTGCAACATTTTCTAACAGGGAGTGAGATTCCTTTTTTATTTAATTTTTGTTTGTTAGTTTTATTCATTTAGAAGTTCTGGTTCTGGACATTTCAATGTTAAATGAAGGTTTCTTTGTTGCATTTTAAAGGGTGTACTTGCATTATTATGATATATTAACATTATATTAGTGGTTATTTTGGTCTAGATAATGTTGACAATATCGTTTATCATCAACAATTTGTTGGACAAAATATCGTCCAGCAAAATGTGTTACTTTCCCAGGCCTAGTCAAAAGTATAAAAATTATTTATACATAAACGGTCCCTCCTGAGATCTGGCCGTTTGTTCATTTGCTGTGTTAGAGGACATGCTGAACTAATGTTTTACACATGATCATCACCCTAACATTTGAGTGTATAAAAACATATTAAATATGTTTTTTCCCTTAAAAGTGTTTAAACAGTTGTTGCATTTCAACACACAAAAAATAAATGGAAAAAATAAGATGAATCGAATGAAAAGTGTACATCTTTGACATTAAGCTTAAAAAAATCTGTTGACGATGATGATACTGTTCATTTTTCAGAGCTTTTTAATGTGAAAATATACATTGCAATAGATAAGTTTACAATAAAGTTAAATGATAAAAGTTTTGAAGTTACACTTCTACTACTACTACCACTACTAGTAATAATAATTATGATGATAATAGTAATAAAAAAATAATAATTATAATACGAATTAATTGTGTCTGAGGAGTCAGTTATGTGGAGGAGATGAGTTTGTAAAAGTTAGTTTTGAGTTTGTGTGTGAAGGAGGAGGTGAGTCTGAGCTTAATGCAGGGGTGTCACATGTTCCAACTTACGTTTAGACTTTGAAAGAAATCTCTTATATCCACTTTTCGTTTTCTTGACATGCTGCCTCCTGGCTCTGCCTAACTACCAAAGACTCACAAATGAACACTTATTCAAATGTTATGTAATGGAAGCTGAGCTGAGCTCTGATATTACACAGCGTCTAGTTGACGATGTGACTCAGTACCGGTGTTCCCTAGCGGCTCCAAACTAGCAAAACAACGTGAGCACGTTCTGACTGTTTACAACTTGAGTGACAGCAGCAACAGCCAATAATACGTTAGCAAGTATCAGCAGAGCCAATAGATTAGCTTTTGGGCGGGTCTAATAGTAAAGCGGTTTCCGTTTCGGTCCTAGTGCTCAACCAAATCCATTTAATGGAGCGTAACATTGTTTTTGGACGGAAAAAAGTGCAGGGGACCAAAACTGCCTTTTGAAAAAGTGGGGGGGACATGTCCCACCCGTCCCCCCCCAAAATTACGTCCCAGCCGCTGCGTCTCTGCTCATAGAATGCCCGCAAAGCGGAGACCATAAATTACGTAATATATATAGATACCGGATCTTTATTTTGGGCTTTCCGCAATTTTAATTTTTAAGAAACCCACATCTTGATTCTGGGTTTAAAATGCATTGTAATTACCGCGTTACTGACAATTGTACCGAGTAAATATTACCATTTTCTTTCCCTGTAATGCCTTACATTACCACATTACAGCAAAAAGCATTGCAGTACAGTAATTAATTACTTTTGTACCACATTACTCCCAACACTGTTTATGAGTTGGCAAAAACGTTCCTGCGCTCCCCAGCATCATCTGTGCCATGTGAAAGAGTTTTTTCAAAGGCTGGGCAAATACTGTGCAATAAAAGGAACAGGCTCAACCCAAAAACCTTGGAGAAACTTTTGTTTTTGAATAAAAATGAGTAAAACCAGTAACTTTTTGGAAACTTTTATTGGAATTGACTTTATTGTCTTGATTCACAAAAGCTTTTCACATAAAACTATAACATCTGGGCAAGTAGTGTGGTTTTATTATTGTTTATTTTATCCCTTTTATTATTATTATTCTGTTTTGACATTTAAGGTTTCCATTCAGCTAAAATTTTAATTAACTATAATTATATTTTACATTGCACTTTTACACAAAAGAACAATACACCCAATTTCGTTGTATCTACATACGTTGTAGTACTGTGAAATGATAGACTGTCTAGAGGAGGCTATCGTAATACATTAAATCATCCAGCAGATGGCAGTGTCTTGAAGCACTTAGGTGAGGCCTCGAGTAGTGAGCCGTTTAGGAAAGCCCCGTTGTTTCATGGGGCTTCGTGTTTCCCATCGCTATCTCCCAGGAGTTGGGAGGCTTAAGGCTTCAGGAACGGCTGATGGTTGATTGGGTGCAGCTGCTCCACAACACTATCTGCTGGCCTCTGGTGGTATGCAGCTGAGTTGCAGGACTTGGGGCCTGCAGTAGGGGATTACCAGGAGAGCAGAGAGCAGAACCTCTGGGCTCGTCACAGTCCCCCCCCCCCCCCCCAAAAAAAAATTTTAAAAAGGAAGTTAAACAAAGAAAAAGGCCACGAAACTTTCTTTCTTAAAAGTACTACTAAACTCCTCTTCACATGCCGAACCCGTGCACGTACCGATTTCTGGTGTGTAGTCATGCTAATTACAAACTTTTACAAGCTGATAAATCTCAATGTACGTGACTGGCGTGGTCGAAACACCCGCCATTAGTTTTCATTTAAATTGCAGTACAACATGTGTGTGATCAAGGGCATAAGTGTTCTTCCAGGGACCCATGATGCGGAAGTGACTTAGGCTCCCTATAGGGCTCGTGATCGTGATGTCATCACAGATGCAGCCGCCCCGTTGGAGGCATATGAGTCCTTACTTGTTGACTGTTACCACTGTAAACAACACGCTCAGTCTTGTTCTTGCATATTAAATTAATCTATTATTCATTTGATCGGTTACATTACACAACTCTAGTAAATGGTTGCTGTGTTGCGGGGTGACATGTGATTGCCAGGGTAATAAAGGTGGAAAACAAGCTAACTTTTCACCGTTTTCCTGCTTAGAGGCAAAACCACGGAGACCAAGTATCTAGCTTAACAAAGTCTCGTCGGCACACTTGGATCGCAGCTGTAAGGCGACCAAATATCACCTTCTGGAGTATTTTCATTCTGGTAAGTTACAGATGGTGTATGTTTTTATACATCGTTTCTTTCCTTCAACCACAGCTTGCACACGAAACACACACACACACACACACACACACACACACACACTCACACAGAGGCTACACTGTCGAGGGTGTCATCCTCGACCGCTCACTTTCTTTTCAAGCTCACATTAATAACATAATTCGGTCAGCATACTTCCATCTACGTTCCAGAAACCGTCTCCGCCCCTCCCTGACCCCCCACACTGCCGCCATTCTCGTCCACAGCCTCGTCACCTCCCGTATCGACTATTGCAATTCACTTCTTTATGGTCTCCGCAACAAACTCCTTAATAAACTGCAACTGGTCCAGAATTCAGCAGCCCGTATTATCACCAGAACCCCTTCCTTTCACCACATCACCCCGGTTCTTTAAAAGCTTCACTGGCTCCCAGTTAAATTCAGGTCCATCTTCAAAATTCTCCTCCATACCTTCAAAGCAATCCACAACCTCTCTCCTCCATATATCTCAGACCTTATAAGTATTCACACCCCATCCCATTCTCTCAGATCTTCTTCTTCCATCCATCTTGCGGTTCCTTCTGCCCGTCTCGCTACCATGGGGAGCAGAGCTTTCAGCCGCTCTGCTCCTCGTCTCTGGAACTCACTTCCCCCAGACCTCAGGAAGATCGGCAGTTTTACCCTTTTCAAAACAAAACTCAAAACACATATGTTTAAATCTGCCTACAACCTCTGATGTTTAAATCTGATACAACCTCTAAACCTCTGATTTTATTGGACTGTTTCTCTCTTTGTTTTTTTTTTCTTGTTTGGGTTTTATTATTGTTTTATTGTATTTTATTAAGTGTTTTCTGTCAAGTGACCTTGGGTGTCCTGAAAGGTGCCTTTAAATAAAATGTATTATTATTATTATTACACACAAATTGTTTTACAAGAAAGACCAGCAAATGAAACGTTTACCTCTCATCCGGACGTTTGCATCCGCTCACACCACAAACAAGAAAGACGAAAATGTCCATTATGCAGAGCTGCAGCGGCAACAATATGTCATCAGTGCTCGGGTCTTGGGTCTTTCATATGGATCAAAACCATTTATTACGCTGATTTTGTCCACATATCAGTCCCCAACGTCTTTATTTAACGTATCGCTGTATATTCCACATCCTTTTGGGGATTTTATAATGTTGTTTAACACTTTCTTTCACCCAAATCTGCTTCTTCTCTGCGACAGTACTGTTTATTTCACGGTTTATTAACACTCATCAGCCTTCCAACATGGCCGCGCGCATCCCAGAATGCTATGCGTAGTCATGTGTGATCACAAGCCCTATTGGTTTGATTCAAATCTGTTTTACCCTGCACACTTATTTTAACTGGAGAGGTTAACAAACAAAACAAATTAGTTACACAAATTGACATAGGCATTGAAATAAATGAATACTTCATGACACAATTATGGTTTTATTAATAAAATACATTTTTATACTTTGAAACATTTTATGGAATACATTTTTCGTGTGTTAATCCACTAAAGGCCGTAATAAAATATGACTGCCCAATGGCGACGTTTGACCTCCCCACTCAGGTGTTACTGAAGCCTGCAGTTCCCGGTTTGTCCAGGCGAGGGCGCTGTGTAAACTTTGATCTTTGGGGAGATGTTAGATCAGCAGTCAGGACTGAGATAACAGCACAAACAATAGTTTTATCAGTTGGAACTGTGAAGACAGTAAATATGTGCGACGGACTCTAGCTTTGGCTTTTTCTGGCTCACCTCGAGAGGATTATAAATTCTGTGTTTTAGGAAGAAGACCTGCTGTAGAGGGACTGTAGTGGACTGAGTCCAGCTAACTCACTCGTTCATGTGCAAGTTTGTGGCTGAATTTGAATCAAAACTGGACTTCTGGACGTATCGGGCTGGAATTGTCACTGACTCGCGAGGCCTCGAGCACTTTAATACGCCTTTAGCTTCATGTAGCCGAAGCAATGCTGTGCTTTCATTTTACAGGCGTAGCTAGCTAGCGGGCTAGCTCGTTGACGTAGCCGCACGCCGGGGTCGCGGCGTTCGTGGTCGGCGTGCCGACTAACGCAATGCCGCTGGTCCGAGGAGGCCTAGTCGTAGTGCCAGTTTCAGCAAGCTAACGTTAACTGGAGGAACTGGGCCGCTGTAAATTTCAGCTAATTGTTAAGAGACAACGGTTTTGGTGTTTACATTTGAGTAGAGTCGACGCAATAAGGGTTGAAAACCGGAGAAAGTCAGCTTATGGAGGATTATTGAGACATCTGTTAAGAGCTCTGCATGTATGCAAGTTACCACTAAAGAGGCGAGTTAATCCCGAGCTGCTGTCAGTAAGGAGTCTGTAGGAGTCTGACTGATATTTACATGCAGGTTGGTTATTAATTTGCTGAACACTGAGACATATCATTCATCATTAATCACCCCCGAGGAAGCAACCCGGGTTTAATCCAGTCAGAAACAAGCCACAATCAGTTCCTGCTTTGTGTTTTTAGTACTAACAGGTGGGAGGCTTTGAGTTAGTTTTAGCAGCACTTTATCTTTAAAAGTCCTACTGGTGTGTGTGTGTGTGTGAACATGAGGGACCGACCGTCTGAGCCACCTTCCAAGTAGCTTAAAGTTCTGATCAAAGCACACCAACAGAAAGCCCCATTGTGTGGACTGCAGCCTGAAGAGGAAGAGAGATGTTGATGATTAAAAAGGCCCAGTGACGGTGTTCATCCCAGGCCAGGAAGCAGACATGAGCCACCGCCAGCCCACATCCACCCTGGACAGGTATGCGCCTCTCAACTCATTAGCAGCGCATCTGAAGGCCTGGCATGGGAATGCAGCGTTCCCACACCGGCCACTGGGATAGAGCTATAATCCTGTCCAGTTTGGTTGTGGGGAGAACAAGTCAGGCAGGTTCTCTTCAGGGATACGGAAACAGCTTTCTGGAAGAAGAAATACACACCGTAAGCGTTGTGTGGAAACGGTTTATGATGAGGACGTGATGCTCAGATGTCACGTTTCTTTACACCTGCTGTCACTCTTCCCCTTGACCAAAGGGTCCAATGCCGAAAATGTCTCCCTGTTCTGACCTACGAGCTTTCTGATTCCATATGTATTGGACAGATGTCTATCCAGATGTTCACACATCCCATCTACCCATTATAGATCCAGATTTACTCAGCGACATCATCCAGTGGGCTGAACGACAAACAGGACACCAGCGCGTCAACTGGTGATGCTAATTCCACCTTTGTAGTTTTTTTTTGCACAACTTTGTTTTGGTTATGGAAAAAAAATCGTGATCAATATTGAAATAACACGATTACTGGAGTCGCCAAAAACTCCATTTATTCTCCTCTTTCACTGAAAACACCCAGAACACCGAGGTGCAATCCGCCAAATTAAAAGCATCAAGTAGTTTTAACGCAGAAGGCTTACCAACTCTGGACACACTAGTTCGGTGTTCGCTTCGCTTCCGTGTTCCGCCCTTCCAGGCTGAAGCTCATCAATCATTGATTCAGCAGTTCTGATTGTCAGGTTGGACACGCGGGCTGAGGGTTCCTGATAAGGATGCTGTTAGGCTAGGACAGTAAAGATTTGATTACTGCAAATGATTCAGTTAAAATCGCAATCTGCTGTTTTATTTAAGTTCAAGGGTAATTGTTTAGGACAAAAACAAGTGTTCACCTGTTCCAGCATCACCTGGATTAACCAGACCAAGGTGGGTCCAGATTCTGGCTCTGCAGCAGGAAGTCAGCCCGTCTGACTTCAGAGAGCATTGTGAGTTTAGAGGAGTTGTCAGTTTACCCCCGGTGCACTAGCAAGTTAGGTTTGTGTGCTGCTGTCTCCTGTTGGGAACAAGACAAGAGTAGTTTTGACTGTTTAGTCAAAAAACGGGGATAAAAACACAAGAAAGGAATCAAAACATGCTCAAAAGTTGTGTGTAGCAGTTAATGTTTCTAACTGTTGACCAACAGCTTGGTGCAAAACAAGATTGTTGACAAAACAAACATCTTCCCTTAGATAACACCTCGTACTCCTCCAGACACGAACGAGCTGCATCTAGACTAGACTCACTGAGGATATATATCGATCAATAGAAATGTGGTTCAATAGAAACTTCAATAAAAGTTTCCTTTTTCTATTATAGCCTATTGGATAGCTTTATTCTAGAGTCAGTACTTTCCCCCAACCAATGAATGCCTCCCACCGTTGAACTGGCTGAAGCCTCTGCAGTCGAAGCTGCTTTTACTCTAAACACCATGTAGAAGAAGAGGGGTCAGGAGGTCCTCTCTTGGTCACGTCTCTGTATGACTTTCTCTTTTTCCTTCTCTCTGCCACGCTTCACTTTCAGCCCTTTTGCTGCTTGGTGAGTTTTTCTAGCTGCTGCTCTCTCTGTGGCGCCTGTTTCTCCTCTCCTCTTGTTTCCCATGTGTCCCTGTGTTGTTGTCTGTCGTTCGTTACGAGTTTCCCATCTTCCTCTCCGGTCTGTTTCCTCACTTTTCTGTGACCTTCCCTTCGGAGCTCTGCTTTTCCTCTCCAGCCCTCACAGAGCATGTTTCTTCTGAATCGGCCCATTTGACATCTGGTTTCTTTGCCAGGATCAGCAGTCTGACTATTGGGGACTCCGACCGCAAACCCTCTGCCAACCAGCACCGAGAGCTTCTAGTGGACGGCTTACCGGACTGCACAAGTACCCTCCTTCATAGCCCTGTCTATTGATTCTGAACATCCTGATCGTGTTTACTCAACCAAGCTTTGTCTCCCCGTCGTGGCCAGGTCCTGGTCTTGTCCATAGGTGTGTGGTTGTCCAAAAGGACCAGCTTGGTTTCGGCTTCACTGTGTGTGGAGAGAAGATCAAGCTTGTGCAGAATGTCCGACCAGGTGAGACTTAATCCATCTGAGCTTCTTAGTTTTTTACTAATCTGAAATTAAAGCCCAAGTTCACCCAGAAACCGTTTTTTTTTTACTTATTTTTTAACTCATTCACTGCCAGCCGTTTCCTGATCACTAACGGCCTTCGCTGCCAGCGTTTCTCACCGTTTTTACTGTTTTTTTTAAGAGTCACAGAACGTTGCGCGCTAGCATGATGTCGATGCCAAAACAACCTAAATGAAGAGGAGACTCACCTCTTACATCAGGAAGAAGCCGCGTGTTTCGAGCGTTATCCGTTCTTTCATAATCCGTTGTCGAATTGTGATCGGCAGACGCTTCTCCGGTTCGCGCCTCACTTTTTTTACAGGAACTGCCCAAAACGATCTCCAAACACATGGATGGTCTGCTTCCTGATCATGTGATCTGTGACGTATGTGGATGAAGATCGGCTTCAGGGCTGAGATGTTTGTTCTCTCAGCGCGGGGGATCGTTCCAATGCTCAAATAGTAAAAAAATGCAAATGACGACTTTAGTCGTCATCGGCAGTGAACGGTTGGATCTAAAATGACGACTTTAGTTGTCAATGGCAGTGATTGAGTTAAACATGCTGGGGCACTCTGAGCTTAAAACGCAGGCTAAACGTGAAAACGGTCTTCTACCCCCGTTTCCTGTGTTAGCCGGCGACGGGAATAGACGAGGAAGCGCTCTGATGAGAAAAGCCTGTGATATTTGCATAATGTTTACTGCATTCAACACAGTACACAGTACAGCCACATCTAATGGGACGTAAGCTGCTGAATCTGAATGTTAACCCCCATCTCATCCTCTGGGTCCTCTCCTGTCTCACGGGGAGGGAGCAGAGGGTCAGGGTTAACGGCCGTCACAGTACTGTCACGTCACTCTCCACTGGTTCCCCACGAGGTCCAGTCATCTCTCCTCTTCTGTTCATCTTTTACACCACTGACTGCAGGAGCACAACCCCAGGAATCACCTACATTACATATTCAGACGACACACTGATCATGGACACTACTAACAGAAGGACTGCTGCAAAAATAACTGGACTGTTTCTCACTTTGATGTACAGAGAGCTGCCTGGACTCACTTCCACTAGGGATGTAAGAAAATATCGATATGGCAATATATCGTGATATATCGTATCGTCTCCCCTGTATCGTAATATGTATCGTATCGCCAGAATTTCAACAATACACATCCCTGACTTCCACCATGGCCCACTCACTGTTAACAGCCACATAGTTGAAAAGGTTCACTCATACAAACATCTCGGTTGCATAATAGACGACAAACTCACATTCCAACACAATACTGAACACATTTTTGCAAAATGCCAACAGCGCCTCCATTTTCTACGTAAACTCCACCAAACCGTCCTTGCTGCGTTCTATAGATGCTTTATCAAACCAATTCTTACGTTCAACATTTCCGCCTGGTTTGGTTCACAGCGTATTGCGTAACATGCTCAATAACATAATCAGGGTAAGCAGTAAAGTCATCGGTCAGGAGCAGCAGTCACTTACCAGCACATACAACACTTCAGTTCTCAGAAAAGGCACACAGATCTCCACAGACCCGTCACACCCTCTCCACTCCCGTCACACCCAGTTACCGTCAGGCCGGCGGTTCAGGGCCCTCCCAGTGAGGACAAAAATGGCTTCCCTCCCTCTTCAGTCTGCCTGTTAAACAGCAAAAATGACTGTGACCAACACTACGGTCAATCTAGATTGAACTAGTAATCTTTTATTACCGTATTCCTTTTTAAATTCCTTTAATTAAGTGTATGTACATGTGAGTAGTCTTTTAAATTGATTGTACGTGTACGAGTGTGTTGATGCTGTTTTCATGTGTTGTGCCGACGCTCTGACTACGAATGAAGTTCCTAATGGATAAATAATTGAATAATGTCACTAACATTCATGGACTCACCCATCTGGACTCACGACGGGGAAGGCTGTTGTTGGTTTAGCGTCCAGGAAACGGCAGAGAACGTCTCGGCTAGTAGAAGCTAACCGTTAGCATTAGCAATTCCACCACACAGCAGAACTCCTTCAGCCTTATTTGTGGAGGTAAAGCATGAGCGCCGCAGAGCAAGAGAAGTCAGTAGTAGAGTTGTGTTGCTGTTATCCAGTCAGAGGTGAGATGTCCAGATATCAGGAAGTAAGGCTCACAGTCCTGCTTCCCTCTTAATGTGCTCACTTCTACGTTCTGAAACAGGAGCGCCGGAGCGTTTTCCCCACAGAGATTGTGTCACAAGGATTTAAACTAGTACCCACCGCAAACGAGTGAACTTGGTCTTTAAGGTTCGGGGATGGCAAAAACGTATGTTTATGTTTTTCATAGTGAATCTTTATCACAATTATTAACTTTTACTTTCCCCACTAAACACCAGGTCTCTGTTCTGTCGTAGCTCTTAATTAAAAATCTAACCAATAATTAGCTTCTTTATGCTAACGTGCGCTAATGCTAGTGCATATCCAACGCAAAACGGAACGTCTTTAGGAACCAGAACAGGTCCAGTTGACTTGATTAGAACCGACTCGGATTACCGGGACAACCTTCACCAGCCCGTGTTTCTGACCTCGGGGAAATTCCTCCTCGTCAGCGTCTTTGTGTCCATCATGGGTTCCTAAACTGGTTCCCGTGGCAACATTTCATGCCCGGTTTGTAATGTTTCTTTTTAATCGTTGAACTGAATATTTTATGGCTCCATGTCAAATATCAAACTTTAAAAGACGCTTGGTTGTTTTCCAAAATGACTCTTAATGACAGACAACCAGGATAAAGCAGTTATTGCACCACAGTTAGCAGCTGATGCTGTGCTAAGGTGTGAAAGGTGCATCGTATAGAAATGACGTAAAAGTGACATCCTGTGGTAAAACTTGGTTACTGCGACCACTTTAAACAACTCTGGGGCTTTTTGCCGACCTTCGTCAAACAACACATGTCGGCGCTGCAGCATTAGCTCGCAGGAGCCGCCCCCCCCCCCCCAAGCTAGCTGGATATGAAACAAGTTTCGGTAAAACCTTCCTTCCTAAATGACTTTCTCACTAAAATTCTCACTACGTTCTTACATGCTGCACCTTTAACATTGTTCTACTCTAGCCTGAGCAACAAGCTTTACTTTAGTTTTAAAAAAAAGCAAAAATGACCCGACAACTGGTTTCCCTTCTTGGTTTTAGGATCTAAAACAAAGTTCTTCATCCAGACCAGCTTGGGCTTTCATCCAGAGCCTTTTCTGTTTACCTAAAGATCATTTTTATGTATAAATGAATAAAATGCAACAATATTTTCCACAGGGATTCACTTTTACTGTGGTCGGTGTGTAAGCTAAGAGGACGGTCGCCATCGTTAGCATAGATTTGTGATTTTTAGATGGAAAATAGAAACTTAAAGTAGAATTTGGGGGGAAAGCGGATGTTTTGGGGTCCTAATGATGAACACTGGGATCCCTCAAATCTGTGAAAGGCAGAGATGCTCCTCCTCAGCGACACGTCCTTATTTGCTCCACCTGTTGTGATGAGACGCTGCTCTGTCTGCAGCCTCTGTTTACGAGGTGGCGTGGAATCGGAGCCGAGGCATGTTGGTTTGGAATCTGCTCCGGCTGCCAAGTCCCAGTTAGAAACACGATCCGGCATTCCCGATAGTTACGTCGTTTCTTCTTCTGGTGTTTGGCAGCCGCCTCACTTTCCACAAACGATTGGAAGAACGATTCTCTTTTCGGGAATCAGACGTAAATCCAGCATCGCCACGGCTTAATGAGCAGAGACAGCAGCTTGGACACTTGATTCTGTTATGCAGAGACCCAAACAGCTGCAGCTTCCTGGGATCGGGTCATCGCACCGATGCTCATAAACATAAAAACTATAAATATCCAGACATGAAATCTTTATTTGGTTAAATATGCGTTACCTGTTCTCGGAGCTCCTTCGATGGGACATTTTTCATATAATTAATGATCTGTAGCCGCCTGTGATTGTCCTCCATGTGCTGCTGTGGACGATGGTGTCCTGATCGTTGTGTCCAGGTGGACGGCGATGATAAACTCACTCACAGGGTGGTGCACGAATCTACGTCGGATCAAAACTGTGAGCAGTGAGAAATGCTTGGGTTGGTAACACCTTGTGAAAGAAGATGAACTAAAGACTTATTTATGCCTCAGAGACCAGGGTAGAAGTAAAACAGCTGATCTGAGAGTAAAGCACCAGGAAATGGGAGCGTGTCGAGGCTCCCAAGCTTCCACGTTGAGGAATAAGTAGAACAAAGATGTCTGGTGTGATCTGTTCTAACGTCTCTGGGGTCTTCTGCTCGTCCTCAGGCGGTGCCGCGGTCAAGGCCGGGGTCCAGGAGGGGGACAGGATCATTAAGGTTTTTACTGTTTCTGGTCTCAGCTGGGATGTTTTCCCTTCCCGGTCTAAATCTGTCTCTGTCTCAGGTGAACGGCTCGCTGGTGTCCTCCATGTCCCATCAGGAGGTGGTGAAGCTCATAAAATGTGAGTTTGAAACCAAACCTGCTTCTGTTTTGTTTCCTCTGTAATCTGATTGCTGTTATTAAAACACAGCTTCTCGCCGGCCCTTAACTCCTAAACCATGAAGCCACACTTTGTCGTCCTCTTTTCCAGCTTGGATGTTCTGTGGATTAGTATCTTGTTCCTCTTTACGTTGTTCTTTTGGATTGTTTGGACGCCCTTTGACGTCTCTGCCTGTCGGGTTTTATTATGTGCAGCGGCGGTCGCTCGTAATGCCGCGCTAACAGCGCTCTATACGTGAAGTGGTGTGATGTCTTTGTTTGGTCCCTCAGCTGGAACCTACGTCGCCCTGACGCTACAAGGACCGCCCCCCTCTGCCATCTCCTTTCCCTTAGAGCCCCTCTCGTCTGACCTCACACCCAATCAGAGAACCTCTGTGAGTGGAGAGGCCCCACCCCCTCCACCTCCACCTTTACCGTCTGGACCGAGCATCACCCCATCCCAAAGAATCACTGGACCCAAACCTCTACAGGTGATTAAACTCTTCTAACCGTGATAATTAAGTAGATTTGTTACTTAAATGTTTTTACTTGTAGGACTCTGAAGTGCAGAAACATGCAAGTCAGATCCTCAGGAAGATGCTGCAGCAGGAAGAGGCTGAGCTGCAGGTACTGTTCTGGTCCAGCGGTGCCTGTTCTTGTGCCTCATCAGCTGTTGGTAACCAGATCACGCTGGTCTCACTCACAGGAGCTCATGGAGGAACGGCTGAGGAACCCGTCTCCTTCGCTCGAGGAGCGGATCGAAAGCGCCAAGAGGAGAGCTCATCAAGTCCGGGTCAAGATCCAGCAGGATGTGGTGAGCCGGTGGAGCCGTTAAAGTCACGAGTCCTCTCGTTTTATGATAAATGACCCGCACTCGTATAGCGCCTCTCAGGCCTAGTCCACACGTAGCCGGGTTTTTTAAAAACGAATATCCGCCCCTGCAAAAACTTGCATCCACACCACCGCGTTTTAAAACAAACTCTGTCCACACGTACCCGGATAAATACGTTGTTAAGGACATGCCAGACCTGTAGGCGGCAGTACTTCCCCCGTTCTTAACCTCGTCCTCCGTCTGTGGTCTTCCGCAAGCAGCAGTAATTCCGCTTGCAAAAACAAACAAGCAGAAAGCGCTTGGACAATTGATAAAGCGAGCGCAGCTCTGAGGGCGTCCATGCTGTCGGCTAGTGTAAACACAGGTCGCACACGTGATGTCAGCATTTTTTTGTCGCGGAAAGTGACGTTGCGGACCTTAAAACTCCGGTTTTGTCTGTCCACACGCAGACACCCAAAACGGAGAAAACGCAGATCTTCACTTTGGCCGGAGTTTTTAAAAAGATCCGTTTTGGTGTGAAAAAACTCCGTTTTCGTGTGGATGACAGGCCAAAACGTAGAAAAATATCCCCGGCTACGTGTGGACAGGGCGTCAGAGTAAGGACTCCAAAGCGCTTTACACTACAGTGTATCATTCATCCATTCACACACACATACACACACTGGTGCTGATGAGCTACCATGTAGCCGCAGCTGCTCTGGAGCCACCGGTCCCTCCGACCACCACCAGCAGGCAAGGTGGGTTAAGTGTCTTGCCCAAGGACACAACAGCAGAATTCTCTGTCAGGAGCCGGGATCGAACCTGCAACCTTCCGATTACTGGACAACCCGCTCAACCTGTTGAGCTGCTGCTGCCTTTGTCACTGTTGGTCTCATTTAGTGTCTAAGAGTTGAAACGGTTGCTGGTTTTGATGGTTATGTCGATGCAAGATAACGTTAAAGTAACAGTCATTCATCACAGACGGCTGCTTTGGTAATGCCGAGTTGGCTAATCTGATTAATCCTGCTGAGGCCCTTTAAATGAGCCTTTTTAACCCATATTACTCGTAGTTTGCTTGGGAATTTTCACCGTGCTGCTGGCCAGCTCCAGCTCGGATCATAGCTCTAGTCCCATCGCTGACACCCGTGAAGCAACGTTCTCACAGTTAAGCCTGAATTCTCCTCCGTCTGCATCGGAGCGGGGACACGCAACACCATTATGCGTCGGCGCAAGGGCTGTCCCAGAGGGTGATGGAGGCCGCAAGCTTGTGATCGGCCAGGACGCCGCTTCCTGTATATTCGTCACCAGCACTGCTGTAGCAACACAGATATTTAGCGGCAGACCCAGAACAGATGGAAGAGCGCGTCGAGGAAAAAGTCAGAAAATAACATTTATTCACCCGTGAGTGAAGGAGTAAAAAATACAGAGCAAACGTGGACGGACACTACGGAAATGTGGGTTTGGAGGTGGCGACCGCATGAAGGTGGAGGAGAATGAAGGATAAATTTGTCTCTGAAATATATAAACACATCAGTAAATATATAAACACATCAGTAAATATATAAACACATCAGTAAATATATAAACACATCAGTAAATATATAAACACATCAGTAAATATATAAACACATCAGTAAATATATAAACACATCAGTAAATAAATAAACACATCAGTAAATATATAAACACATCAGTAAATAAATAAACACATCAGTAAATATATAAACACATCAGTAAATATATAAACACATCAGTAAATATATAAACACATCAGTAAATAAATAAACACATCAGTAAATATATAAACACATCAGTAAATAAATAAACACATCAGTAAATATATAAACACATCAGTAAATATATAAACACATCAGTAAATATATAAACACATCAGTAAATATATAAACACATCAGTAAATATATAAACACATCAGTAAATAAATAAACACATCAGTAAATAAATAAACACATCAGTAAATAAATAAACACATCAGTAAATATATAAACACATCAGTAAATATATAAACACATCAGTAAATATATAAACACATCAGTAAATAAATAAACACATCAGTAAATATATAAACACATCAGTAAATATATAAACACATCAGTAAATATATAAACACATCAGTAAATAAATAAACACATCAGTAAATATATAAACACATCAGTAAATATATAAACACATCAGTAAATATATAAACACATCAGTAAATAAATAAACACATCAGTAAATATATAAACACATCAGTAAATATATAAACACATCAGTAAATAAATAAACACATCAGTAAATATATAAACACATCAGTAAATATATAAACACATCAGTAAATAAATAAACACATCAGTAAATAAATAAACACATCAGTAAATATATAAACACATCAGTAAATAAATAAACACATCAGTAAATATATAAACACATCAGTAAATATATAAACACATCAGTAAATATATAAACACATCAGTAAATAAATAAACACATCAGTAAATAAATAAACACATCAGTAAATATATAAACACATCAGTAAATATATAAACACATCAGTAAATATATAAACACATCAGTAAATAAATAAACACATCAGTAAATATATAAACACATCAGTAAATAAATAAACACATCAGTAAATATATAAACACATCAGTAAATATATAAACACATCAGTAAATATATAAACACATCAGTAAATAAATAAACACATCAGTAAATATATAAACACATCAGTAAATAAATAAACACATCAGTAAATAAATAAACACATCAGTAAATAAATAAACACATCAGTAAATATATAAACACATCAGTAAATATATAAACACATCAGTAAATATATAAACACATCAGTAAATAAATAAACACATCAGTAAATATATAAACACATCAGTAAATATATAAACACATCAGTAAATATATAAACACATCAGTAAATAAATAAACACATCAGTAAATATATAAACACATCAGTAAATATATAAACACATCAGTAAATATATAAACACATCAGTAAATAAATAAACACATCAGTAAATAAATAAACACATCAGTAAATATATAAACACATCAGTAAATAAATAAACACATCAGTAAATATATAAACACATCAGTAAATATATAAACACATCAGCAAATAAATAAACACATCAGTAAATAAATAAACACATCAGTAAATAAATAAACACATCAGCAAATAAATAAACACATCAGCAAATAAATAAACACATCAGCAAATAAATAAACACATCAGTAAATATATAAACACATCAGTAAATAAATAAACACATCAGTAAATATATAAACACATCAGTAAATAAATAAACACATCAGTAAATAAATAAACACATCAGTAAATATATAAACACATCAGTAAATATATAAACACATCAGTAAATATATAAACACATCAGTAAATATATAAACACATCAGTAAATAAATAAACACATCAGTAAATAAATAAACACATCAGTAAATATATAAACACATCAGTAAATAAATAAACACATCAGTAAATATATAAACACATCAGTAAATAAATAAACACATCAGTAAATATATAAACACATCAGTAAATATATAAACACATCAGTAAATAAATAAACACATCAGTAAATATATAAACACATCAGTAAATATATAAACACATCAGTAAATATATAAACACATCAGTAAATATATAAACACATCAGTAAATATATAAACACATCAGTAAATATATAAACACATCAGTAAATATATAAACACATCAGTAAATAAATAAACACATCAGTAAATAAATAAACACATCAGTAAATATATAAACACATCAGTAAATAAATAAACACATCAGTAAATATATAAACACATCAGTAAATAAATAAACACATCAGTAAATATATAAACACATCAGTAAATATATAAACACATCAGTAAATAAATAAACACATCAGTAAATATATAAACACATCAGTAAATACATTGTTGTGGAGTAGATGCATGAGCGTTATGGTGACAGGACACCACAGAACAGCGCTACGCCCTCTGTTGTCCTGGCGTGAAGACCTTTCCGACACTCCGTGTGCGTCTCTCCGATGCGGATCTCACGGAGAAGCATAAATCAGGCTTTAGTGACTCTTTAGTTAACGTATGAACTGAAATGAACGACTCCTGAGTCCAGTCACACTTTTAACACTCGATAAATCCGCTAAACTGGCAGCGTCTTGTTGTTATCCTGCTGACCATAGTCCGTCTGTAGGTACTCGGGTGTTTAGTGTTCACTTCTCCAGCATTAGAAGCAGGGGCGTGTCCAGGGAGTGGCCTGGGGTAGCACATGCCACCCTTGGAATCTGATTGGCCGCCCCAGGTGCCACCACACTAATTTACCTTTCAATCGGCTTTTCATTGTCCACAAAGGGCTTGGGGGTAAAACAACAAAAAAAAAAGAAGCATAACCATTGGTGCCACTCACAGGGTATCTGCGGGTCCTTAAAAAGTCTTAAATTAGCTTTTCCAAATTTAAGGCCTTAATCCTTAAAAATGACAAATCCTTAAATAGTTTCCAAAGGTCTTAAATTACCAAAGACCCATTAAACAAGATTCTTTTATGTCTATAACATTTTCGTGAATTTCTAGTTCAGCATTTTTTGTGTATGATGTTGCCGTAAGCGGAACCGTACACATTCGGTTGGTTGTGAAAGGGGGCTGTTTTTAGATGAGCATGCTAGTGGGAGCTTGCGCCATGGGGAAGTGCAACATTAATGGTAACTGGATGGCTAATCCCACGTTCACGATGTGGTTAGCACCGGTTCCAGGCAATAGCTGGAAATTATAGCTTAAATTTAATTTAAAAAATAGCTTAAATTTGGTCAAAGTGGCCTTAAAAATGGTCTTAAAAAGTCTTAAATTTGGCTCCCTTAAACCTGCAGATACCCTGCACTCATGCACAAAGTTGTGCCTCACCTGGGCCACCCCATTTTAAAAGATCTGGACACGTCACTGATTAGAAGCAGCGATGGAGTACATAATGGAGGATGACCAACTCTATAAACTAGTAAACTGGGAATCTTTACCATTTCTACCATTAGAGATCTGAATGAAGTGCGTCCCACTCCACTACTGTAGGTGGCAACGTGCGCCCTCACGTGTTGGTATTCTTCCAGTTAGCCTACAGCGACGCAGATAAAAGCAGGAAATGCAACATGGCAGAAGGAATGTCCAACGCTGCAGCACAGCTTGTTTGGATGGTGTCACACGTGTTACATTGTGGCGATCGTATTACCAGAATACGAGCGTCCAGCCGGTATCGGCTCGACGGAGCCGTTTACATGCAGATGAAGTCGGGTTCCTACTGTATAATCTGGGTACTTCAGCTTGATTAGAACATGTTTGACTTCAGCCGGACACGAGTTTAAACACAGATGTCAGTCTATTTATAATGTTCAGTTTACTGATGCTCATGTAAACGCCCTGAGTGAGGCCAGCATTGATTAATGTGAACAGCAATGGTGGTAAAAGGTTTCCGTACTGTTGCATCTGTCGCTGATTTTGCTGTCAGGTTTCATGAGCTGCTTTTACGTCTGATCTGTTTAAAGTTGGATTCTTTTGTCTCAGGAGGGGACACGATCAGAGTCTGTGTTCAGCTCAGGAGAAGGTTCGTATCTGTAGACTTCTACACCTACGAGGTTAAAGGTGTGGTTCACTCGTTTGGTCAAGACAGGTGAAGCGGTGTCTAGTAGGAACGAACGCCTTGTAAGTCGTACTCGGGGAGAAAAATGTACCGGGGCAGCATTTCCAGGAACTAGCTGTGACCCACATCCCAGCTGAGCTTCAGACGGCAGGATGTGGAGTCGTATTTCCTGACATTGGGACATCTATCTATCCTTGGACTGGACAACAGAAACACGGCTCTACCACTGACTCGCAGTGCGGATGTTTTATTTGCGCAAATAACACAAGCCTGGAGGAGCTTCTGCTGTGTGGTGAAGTTGCTAATGCTAACTGTTAGCCTAAACCAGTCAGGACGTTCTCTGCTGTTTCCTGGATGTTAAACCAACATCAGCCTTCCCCGTTGTGAGTCGAGATGGGTGAGTCCATGAATGTTAAGTGACAGCATGACTTAGATCTGTCAGGATTTTCTAATCCTAGACTTCCATCTGTTTTCAAACGCTAACGCAGGAGATGGGTGTAGGAGACTATTTTATGTTCAGCTTGTATGAAAAACGGACAAATCAATACAAAAGGTGTTTCAGTGAACCACACCTTTAACTGGATTAAATAATCTCACAGAGACGTTTGTTTCAAAGCTTTCTGTTCTCTGGCAGCTCGACTTTCCATGGAGTTCAGTGAAGGAGAAGTGGAGGTGAGCTTCAGTCCCAGCAGGTCGAATGTGTGTGCTCATTCCACTCATCCCGTTCCCTTCATCCTCCCTCCCCAGACCTTTGAGAGCCCCTACTCCTCCCCCTTATTACCCTTCAGGACCCCCGCCCACCGACGCCACTTCTCGGACACACAATCCCTGTTTGACACGGTGAGACTCAGACGTCCGTTTACGTTTTTCATCCTCGGACGTCGTGTAGCGATCAGATGACTGTAAACTGCTGGAGTTACCCTCTCATTAATCTGTCGTTGAAATCTGTGTCCCAGAGCGAAAAGCCACAGATCATCAGTCCTGAAGATGTCGACGACGACGACGGCAACACCTTTAATGAAGTTTGTTAGGATGTCCGTTTATTTTCTCCTAATCTCACGTTTGTCCACGTGACCTTCTCTCTTCTTCTTCTGTGGTTTACGTGCAGATGGACGGCCTGTTCCAGGACATCGAGTCACTGAAGTGTCGACAAGCACACCTGATGGTTTTCATGAGATACATCTTCACCCAGGTGCTGGACCCCAACCCTCTGGTGAGTGGAGACATGGAGCTGCCTCTAGTTCTCACTTTGCTGTTCTTTTTAATTTTCTTGTAATGAAAACATCAAAGTTTCAGTTTAAACATGCAGTTTTTCTATTGGTTAAATTTAATCAAATAAGGGAAAAGAATCAATCTTCCTCACAAGGTAATAAAAATAAGTAGATGCCATCTCAGATGAACAAAATATGGCGAGTTGCTGATTTTTTTATGACTAAATAGAAACGGCAGTTTGTGAAGTCCGTCTTCTGAATCCGCAGCCCCAGAACTGCGTTTAGCTACGACAACTCTGAGTAAACAGTTGTAATCTGGCCCATTTTCTTTGGTTCCTTCGTTGTGCAGCAGCTTAGCTTGTTTATTAAAAAGTGTTGTTGTTAAAGTCGCTGACACAACAAGTTAGAAGTTGAAGGGAACTTAATTGGAGTCTTATTTTGTGAGGTGCCTTGAGACGACTAGTTGTGATTTGGTGTCTGAAGCCCAAATCATCTAGCCCGGCCTGCCGGACTCCTCCTCTGTTTAATTCTGCACAGAGAAAGGGTCTGGGAACTCTCCTATTCAAATAACCCCGCCCCCTGAGAATTCTCACCGAGCCAATCAGCGCTGAGTGGCGTACGTCACACACCACAACACCGAGTTTGTCATAAACATGGCGACTGAAGCGGAGTTCGCTGCGGCTCTTTCCTCTGGTCTAAATGACTTAAATGTATTTAAAACTACAACAAGTAGAAGCGCTAAAAGCCTTTATTCAGAAAATGAAAAGTGTTTGCACCGTTGCCAGACGCTTTTTTTCCTACAGCTAGCAAACGACAGCATCGTGCGGTACAGCCGGCATTTCTGTCTTTTTTGTGATTGGTTATTTTTGAGCTGCCTAGTCCCGCCCCTCATGTGCCTCTCTGTCTGTGAGTTACCAGACTCGTAATCCGTGTGCAGAATTAAACAGGACGAGTCTGGCAGGCCAGGCTACAAATCATCAGCCCTCCACTGCCGTGCTGATGAGCTGAATGTTGCATTGTGGGTAAACACCTCTGCGTTGGTACTATCTGTTGAAAGAACAGCAGCTTTTTGTCCTCATTAAACCGCAACAATACAGAACTTTAGACCAGCTGCCATGTTGTCTCTAAAGAGAAAATATTTTCTTCTGCAACCCACCCTCACAAACGACGCTTATTCAGCGTTTTTGTATTCGTCTGAGATGGATGTACTGATAAGTCAGTTTCTCTGAGCGCTACGTGTTCTGACGTTGGAGTGAATTTACCAGGACGTCCACTCCAACGATTGGCTTTGGTTTTTCTTTGCACTCATTAATAATTTTTCTTCTCGTGGAATAATGAACTCAAAATGGTTTGGAACTGATCCTGACATTTATGTAGCTTTAAAGAGACAATGTGTAGTTTTTCCCACTGATGTCTGGAAACATCCATCAAAATGTTGTTGAAGGTTAATAAAATGATGCCCAGTTGATGAAAAATATTTGTGGCTTCGTAACACATAACTTTAATAATTGGTTGTAAAATACATGGAAGCAGGTCCGTCTCTGGGCGACCCCGTATTAGATGGCATGTTTCTCTCTAAGGGAGCCCGTGAGGACAAAATGCGTTTACTGATTTGTAACAAACGGCTACAAAACTTTCCGTTGTTTTACACATTTACCTCTTCGCTCGTAGCCAGGGATGGCCATCCGTTGGTAAGGTCTCTTACTCAAGCACAAAAATACCGCCTGCTAGCAATTATTTAGGTATGTACTTCCCCCCTGTGGCCTGGGAAAATACACGTTGTCACTTTAAGCTTATTGCCATTATCTTCTGGGCATTATGTTGACACACACTTGGATGTGCAGCAAATGGGACAAGCGGGATTCCAACGACAATCAGAGTGTAGAGCCGGCCACTGTTTGAACAAGCTCCCGCTAGAGTAGGAGTCGCCGCTCCTCTGGGTGAGGTGCTGGATCAAAAGTAGAATTATAAAAAGATCACAATCCGCACACTTCAATCTGCGATGTGACAGCTTTATTTGTCGAGCTTTCGGTCAGAGACCTTCATCAGGTAAAGACCTTATGAAGGTCTCTGACCTTTTCTAAAACAAGCTACCACTAACCAGATGTCATATACTGATGTTTACGTTATTAAAGTTATGTCTAAAGGGAGAAAATGTCCGCGGCTGGGAGTCAAAGGAGTAGATGTGTCGGGAAAAGGAGTGCTGGTGCTCACCGAACCACGGAGCTGTGCATCTTGTTGTCTAATCGTTTTTGTTTTCGTTGCTGTTACGATCAGCGGTGTGTTTGTGAGGAGAAACGTTCAGCTGACCCACCTAATAAAAACTCTAATAAACACACCTCACCTTAGTTTACCTCCGCATCATTAGAGTAATACACTTTAATGTCTTTAAGCGCCTCGTGGTTTTTATCTTGAGAGGCGCTATAGAAATGATATTTTCTTCTTCTTCTTAATGTTTTGATGGTGTGATGTCATTTCCTGTCATGTTTACAAATATTACTGCATATTAAATAGATTTTTTATTTTATTAATATTGAGAGGCACAGCTTATATAATATATAAAGTACTTAAATTTAAAGATTTGCTTAACTGGAAGGTATTGCAACTCGTGTACAAGGCCAGTATGAATCTATTACCGATCCGTGTTCAGATGTTTGTAAGAAGAGAGTTCCTCCAGTTGGAAAGGAATTAAAATCTTTAATGAAACCAAAGTTCAGAACTAGATTTAAAGAGTTTATAGAATCACACTGTGGAATAACTTAGACATGGAAATGACCGTTTCAAAAAACGCATTAAATGACTTGCTTTTCAGAATTATACAAGTGAAAAGGAAATAATTTTACTAGTTGTAATGGGTGTGAACTTAAATAGCTTGTTGTGCTTGTTATACACTTTTTCTTTTACTCCTCACCGTAGAAAAAGGGGCAGAGATTTGTAAGAGTTTCTCTTCTATCTGCTCCCTTTTTCTTAGACTGAATTTTTATGTTTTCTTTTGTTTTGAATGAAATAAAAATGAGAGAAAAAAGGGAAAAAAATGTCTATTTTGGTTTTTTCGTTAATTATTGTTATAGAAACATTTCTACATATAGTTTTACTGATCCATAGTGTGAAATGTAAATGTTACATATTTATTTACAGTTTCAGGAAGCTCTAGCTAACATTTTTGTCGACTAAAATAAAATGAACAAAAACAAATTGGACGACTAAACTGTGACTAATATTAAAAAAAATTTTAGTCAAAAGACTAAAACTAAATAAAAAATTTCTTGTCAAAACGAACACTGGCTCTGGACCTCCTGGATCTTACAGAACATCTGTGAAAGGGCGAGTTCAACCTAATGATTGTTAAATAAAAATTAAAGAATTTTTATCAGAACAAAATCAGTGTTGTCCCACTTCTCTGTTATGAGATTTGTTTTTTGTTTTTGGGTTTTGTTTTTTGTTTTACATGAAGTCTGTTTCCTTCCTCTGTAGCTTTTCTACCTGTTAGTAGAAATCTACCTGGACTGTAATCCTAAAGATGCTCGAGGACTTGCAACACAGATCTGCTCCCTCTTCCTGGATCCAGATGCTGTACGTAACCACGCCACAGCTGGTTTAGACGGTCTAAAAGCTGTTTTTGTGGACACGGTTGGTTGGTTGGAAACTGTTTTCCAAACTCCAGCTAGAAAAACCGAAACAAATGTCTCAGGATGTTGACTGCAACATTTCTAACACTGGAAACTTTTTTCTTCCAGCCTTTGAAAATGAAAGTACGGGAGGATTATCTAAAAGATATCGGTAAGATGTTGACTTGGACCGTTTGGTTTAGCTGTCCTGCTTCCAGTCATGTGTGCTCTGTTTTTACTGTTGCATCTAAATTTTGGTCAGGGTGCTTGAATACTTTGAAACTGCTTAAATCTTAGTGGGCAATTTTCAAAGCTTTGAAAGTGCTTGAAGTTGTAACAGCAATAGGTAAAAACTAGGGGTTAGAATTAAATGTGTTAATTACGATTAATTAATTAGAAAAAAAGCAAATGCTTAAGCCTGAGCATCCCCCCACCCCCCCGATTGGGGGCTGAAAAATTTTGCATCACATCTTTTTTATATATATATGAAACCATACATATATATATATATATATATATATATATGAATATATATATATATATATATATATATATATATATATATATATCTGTGTGTGTGTAAAAACTGCACCTCTAAAAATTCTGGAGACCATATAAACCTTTTAAACATTACTAAAGCTACAATTAAATGAATCATGACAAATCGCGCTTCATGAAGAAAAGAAAACAAAACGTTTTTATTGTTAGGTTTTGTCAGTGACTTGATGCAATTTGCTGGGTTCCTTATATAGGAAACATTATTTCTGATTGGCTTAATGAACTGACCTGAATTGGAATGTTTATTATGTGAAGTGCTTTGAGACGACTCTTGTCGTGATTTGGCGCTATATAAATAAACTTGAATTGAATTGAATTAGTTGGTAGAAGTCAGCAGGCACCATTATCCATATGAACTTTATTAAAGCAGGAGGCACAAGCAAACATGCAGCATTCATTATGTAACGCTCAGCAGAACTTCCCCTGAACTCCACACTACACCTCTTTATATATTAGTAGGGCTCTGCTGCCCCCTACTGTTCAGGGCACAACATTTACAATGTTCCATGTCCATCAATAACACATTTACTAATATTTACACGCCCCATCAAATAGTTACCTTTGTAATGAGACCAGTGTAAACAAATAGACCTTGTGGTAATGGAAATAAACTCATTAAAGTGTGGGTGTGTCATCTGTGACTCACTAACATTATTTTTGATTTAAAAAAAATCACTTGGGGGCAAATTGTCTTGAGCGATTAAAATGTGATTAATCAAGATTAATTTGCAATGCCTCTGATTAATTAGATAAATTTTTTAATCCCACCTCTAGTGAAAACACATTAACATGATCATTTATGACACAAGGATGTGAAATCATTCATTTAAATCATGTGATCATTTATGATCAATAAAAGAAGCTTTAACACTTACTTTGTAAATGCTTAAATTTTATTTTAGTAAAAGGTAAAATCCAGTTTAAAAATCTGCTTTATGACATCTGGGATCAGTAAACAAAAATTAGTTTACCAACACTGGCGTCGTCTTTACTTTTTTCTTTATTTACCTCATTTTATCCTGATATTGTTCTCATTTTAATTAATATAAATTAGTTCATTATTGGAAAAAAACTGTAAACAAAATCAGAGAGCATAGAAAAATAGAAGTTTTCAGGGATTCTTCAGCAAACCTAGAAAGCTTCTTTCTCTGTATTTTAATCTTTAAAGTTCTCATCCCCTAGTGGTGCTGCAGGAGTATTTCAGCTGTTTGGTTTTTACATTTTCCTTTTTTACCTTTCCTTAACTGTTTTCTTGTATTTTGTCCCCTTGGATCTTCAGAGAGTCGTCTCAGTGCGCAGGAGGACATCAGAGGACCTCTTTCTGAGCTGCAGCAGCAGGTGCTGCCGGACATCCAGGAGCAGATTCAAGACTACAGGTGCATTAATCAGGAGTGTTTGCTTGAGCAGCATTCAGGTCAGAGGTCACTTCTCATTGCTGGGTTTGTCTTCCTAAACTAATTCCTGCTTGACAAACAACAAAGAACCGATGAGGCGGAACTGTGGGGCCAAACGTGCAGCTGAAACTCAAAACATCTAAAAGTGGTGCAAAGGTTCATTTATGCCAGTAATTCAGTCAAAAGGTGAAACAGACTCATCACATGCAAAGCTCATTTGTTATAATTTGATGATTATGGCTTACAGCTGATGAAAACTGAGCGCTTAGCCTTTCTGCCTCGGCTCCAGAACAGACCTGGGTAACGCCCTTGGTTGGGAACAAGACACCAAGATACTTCCACATGAGGCAAAGTCTTATTCTCAGCTCAGACTTTTAATAAAACTTCCTTAAATCCAGCAGACAAGACTGAAGACAGAACCCCGATCCTGGTTTTATGTCGATAATTATGTCAAGTTTAGTTCCAAGACAGTAGTCATCAAATCCAGAGGATGGGATGCTTTCTTTTATGTAAACGTAAAACTCTGGGAAGAGGTGAGCCAGAGCTCACAGGGAAAACTGTTTACAAGGTGAATTCTTCTCTCATTAAACCTTTGAGTTAATCTTCTGAGGTCATTTTTCTCTCTGGAGCTAAGGAAGAATGCTAAAGGCTGACCCGTTTGCTGTTTTTCTGACAGGAACAAGCAGAAGATGGGTCTGGCGTCTCTGTTTGGAGAAGGAGACCTGCAGCTGCTGGACGGAGACTCGCTGAAGGAGAAGCAGGTGGTGGACCAGCAGGTCTCCGCCCTCTGGGAGATTCTGTAAGTCCTGACTCCTGCTGCTTTCTTCTGCCTCTGTGAACCAACACTGGAGCCTGTTTGCTTATTGATAGAACACAGCGTGAGTTGTTTGAGTTTGCCTAGCAACAGGAGCAGCTCCTCCAAACCAATAAAGCAGTTATTATAGGAGATCATAGCAAAGGTCGTCACTCCATATGGGAACCTGGCATCACATGACATCTGCTTCTTCACCAACACACTCGACTCAGGCTCTCATTTCTGTTTCCCGTGACTTTAACTTTGGGGGACTAAGCTGATAACGGTGTGTTGCTGCTAAGGAAGTCTGCGTTTTTTTTTTTCTCTTTCAGAACCGAGCATGAAGACGACCGAAGGTAAAAGCTGCTCCTTCCTTTATGGAGAGAAATGAAAGTTTTGTCCTCGTCTCACCGTGTCTCCTCCCCCCTCAGCTCTCCTCTGGCATCAGCCGTCCTCCTCTACCTGCGTCACTCCGGCATCAAGCTGAGAGACTCCAAAGTGTTTCCCAGTCCCAGCACCGAGAAGGAGAAGTGGCTCCCTTTCCTAAAACCTAAAAAGGTGAGAAGGGAAACTGGAGAACGTGTTTTCAGATCAGTTTAGTCTCGGAAACGAGCGTTTTCTCTTTTAACCTGTTAGTATGATTAAATATTTCCCTTTTTGTAGCTTTTTTAAATGACCCAGCTCGTTGGGCCATAACAAAAAACGATGTAAGAGTTAATCAAATGTAATTCATTCAACCAAAAAACCATAATCAACCTGTAAAAACGCTGTTACAGCGGGGAGGTGCAAACTAAAGGTTGGTTTATGCTTGACGCGTCCGCGAGGTTCGCACGGCTCCGCGCGGAAAAGTTGCGTCATTTTAACAACCACGCCCCTCCAACGCGCCTCCGCACGGCCCAGAATTTCCGCAACGCGCACCTCGGAAAATTTCTAACCACGCGGACGGTCGGACGCAGAAAAACATGGCGGACCGGCAAGAACTAGTATGGCAGAGGTTCGTAAATACAGACATTTGTATGATTCAGCTCTCAGAGATCACCGTGATCAACATGTTGTTAATAATTCTTGGAGAGAAATAGCTCGCACTGTCGGAAAAGACGAGGACGCTGTTAAAAATGCTGAAATGCCATGTTGTAAACAACAGTCATTTTTACTTCTATGGTGTAGTGATGGATGCATGCCGTAGAGCTCCATGCTGCCCCCTACAGTTTGGGAGAATATTGGCTCACCGCAGAGACGAGCCGCATGAACCATAAACGCTGCAAGTTGTGAAGCGCGTTCCATCTGCGAGCCGCATCACCGCGCGGAAAGTAAATGCGTCAAGCATAAACCAAGCTTAAATGTGGCAGCATACCTGTGGAGGAGCAGAGAGGAGGCTCAGGCTGCTGCAGCAGTCCCTCAGGTGTTGGAGGAAGAGCGTTCGGATTGGCCACAAAACATGGCACACTTTGAGTTTAAAAGGTTTTTAACTTCTCAGGAAGCTTCTCTGAACACGTCTGGGTGGTTCCTGGGGGGGTAGATCACCTAGATCTCCACAGTCTCCTGGTTTTTGTTTCCCAAGCACACAGTGCTGAACACTCAGCACACTTTCACTTCAGAACCTCAACCTTTATTTAGTTGGTTTGAACAAAAAGATGGTGAAGGTCACGGCAGGAACTGCGTTTATGGCGAGCGTTCAGTAAAGCGCTCCGTTAGGCTGTAACGTGTTTATGAGCCAAAAACAAAGATCATCTTAGTAAATCCGGCTTTCTAAAGTCAGCACGACCAGGCTTCCCTCAGCTAACCCAAAGACTAGGTGGGTTTGTCGTGTGAGCTGCTTTTATTTGATGTTTCAAGCAAAAACATTCACAACCTGTGTATTCATGCTGATAACGGCGAGGAGCTGCAGTCTCCACCTAAACACTAACAGGCCCAGACCAATTTGAGCTTCCTCCTTCATAATTACGCCCAATTAAAATGTTATCGATCATTTAATATAGTTGCATTTAGTTATTAGGTCAGTTTGTTTCTGATCAACCAGCCAGTGTGTATTAAACCTGGGATTGTTTGACTTTTCCTTCGTCTCCACAGCTGAGCAGCAACAAGAAGGACAAGGATGGAGACGATAGAAGGAAGAATCCCATCCTGAAGTATATAGTGAAGCCCTGGGCCACGTCTCAGTCCAGTAAAATACACACACACCAATCTGAGCGGGAAATCAAAAACCTGCTTTTAAGGACTTGTGATGTAACCACTATGACATCACTGTTCTGTTTGGTTTCAATATTTTAACATTTTTTTATTTTTGTTGAGTTTTTTCATTCCTGGTTTGTTTCTGTTTGGTTTTGTAGCGTTCCACGTCCCGTTGTCGCCCTCAGAAGGTACATGTTTGTCTGCTCTTTCATGTTTTTTGGGGCTGCTCAGAGGAAATAATTAATTGTTCAGTTTTAAGATTAAAGTGGAAACATCAATAAAAACGTCACACTGACAAAATTAACACACAAAACTCATAGTTCAGAATAAAATTTTTCAGAATTAAGTGAAAATGTTGAGAAAAATATTTATTTTTATTTTCTCAAATCTATGAAAAAATGCATTTTTTTTCCTTCTGAGTTGCCCTAAAGCCTTCATTTTTTCCTTGAGTTAAACTTTTCTTTTATCCTTTAACAAACATCCATAACATCAAGTTATTTAACTCATTCCCTGCCAGCGTTTTCACTGTTTTTTTAAGAGTCACAGAACGTTGCGTGCTAGGATGATGTCAATGCCAAAACTACCAAAACAAAGCGGAGACTCACGTCTTACATCAGGAAGAATCCGCGTGTTTCGAGCGTTATCCGTTCTTTCATAATCCGTTGTTGAATTGTGATCGGCGGAAGCTTTTCCAGTTCGTGCCTCACTTTTTTTTACAGCAGCGGCCCAAAACGATCTCCTAACACATGGATGTTCTGCTTCCTGATCATGTGACGTACACGGTTGAAGATCGGCTTCAGGGCTGAGATGTTTGTTCTCACGGTGCGGGGGCTCGTCCGACGCCCACACAGTAAAAACATGCCAATGACGACTTTAGTCATTGATTCACTTGGACACTTTCTGACTTCATTCACTCATTCTTTCACTTGTTCATTCGTTTGCTCACTCACTCATTCACTCGCTCACTTCATTGATTCTTTTGCTCACTCGTTCATTCGCTCACTCACACACTTCATTGATTCACTCGCTTGCTTACTCGCTTCATTCATTCGCTCACTCACTCACTTTATTGATTCGCTTGCTCACTCACTTCATTCATTCGCTCACTCTCACTCACCTCATTCATTCACTCGCTTCATTCATTCACTCGCTTGCTCACTCACTCACCTCATTCATTCACTTGTCCGTTCATTCACTCAATCATTCACTCACTCAACTCACTCACTCACTCCATCATCTATCTTCTAAACCACATAATCCTGCGTGTCATCGTAGGGACATCAGAGACTATAAGTCATGGAATGGCTAGGGGGTGAAGTCACCGGTTTTCATACAGGTTTAATAATGTCTAATTCGACCTAAAAGGTGAAGCTAACATCAGGTAGACTTACCATTTACAAAGCCTCAGTCACACACAAGACCGGTCACGCTTCAGTCACGTGCAACACCGGTCACGCGCAACGCCGGTCGCCGGTCACGCGCAACACCCGTCAAATGCTTCAGTCACGCGCAACACCGGTTCAGTCACACGCTTCAGTCACACACAACACCGGTCACACGCTTCAGTCACACACAACACCGGTCACGCACTTCAGTCACACACAACACCGGTCACGCACTTCAGTCACACACAACACCGGTTCAGTCACACGCTTCAGTCACACACAACACCGGTCACACGCTTCAGTCACACACAACACCGGTCACACGTTTCAGTCACACACAACACCGGTCACGCACTTCAGTCACACACAACACCGGTCACACGTTTCAGTTACACACAACACCGGTCACACACTTCAGTCACACACAACACCGGTCACACGTTTCAGTTACACACAACACCGGTCACACGCTTCAGTCACACACAACACCGGTCACGCACTTCAGTCACACACAACACCGGTCACACACTTCAGTCACACACAACACCGGTCACACGTTTCAGTTACACACAACACTGGTCACACACTTCAGTCACACACAACACCGGTCACGCACTTCAGTCACACACAACACCGGTCACACACTTCAGTCACACACAACACCGGTCACGCACTTCAGTCACACACAACACCGGTCACGCACTTCAGTCACACACAACACCGGTCACACGTTTCAGTTACACACAACACCGGTCACACACTTCAGTCACACACAACACCGGTCATGCACTTCAGTCACACACAACACCGGTCACGCACTTCAGTCACACACAACACCGGTCACGCACTTCAGTCACACACAACACCGGTCACGCACTTCAGTCACACACAACACCGGTCACACGCTTCAGTCACACACAACACCGGTCACGCACTTCAGTCACACACAACACCGGTCACACGTTTCAGTCACACACAACACCGGTCACGCACTTCAGTCACACACAACACCGGTCACACGCTCCAGTCACACACAACACCGGTCACACGCTTCAGTCACACACAACACCGGTCACACGCTTCAGTCACACACAACACCGGTCACACGCTTCAGTCACACACAACACCGGTCACACGTTTCAGTTACACACAACACCGGTCACACGCTTCAGTCACACACAACACCGGTCACACGCTTCAGTCACACACAACACTGGTCACGCGCTTCAGTCACACACAACACCGGTCACGCGCTTCAGTCACACACAACACCGGTCACACGCTTCAGTCACACACAACACCGGTCACACGTTTCAGTTACACACAACACCGGTCACACGCTTCAGTCACACACAACACCGGTCACGCACTTCAGTCACACACAACACCGGTCACACGCTTCAGTCACACACAACACCGGTCACACGTTTCAGTCACACACAACACCGGTCACGCACTTCAGTCACACACAACACCGGTCACACGCTTCAGTTACACACAACACCGGTCACGCACTTCAGTCACACACAACACCGGTCACACGCTTCAGTCACACACAACACCGGTCACACGTTTCAGTCACACACAACACCGGTCACGCACTTCAGTCACACACAACACCGGTCACACGTTTCAGTCACACACAACACCGGTCACGCACTTCAGTCACACACAACACCGGTCACACGCTTCAGTCACACACAACACCGGTCACGCGCTTCAGTCACACACAACACCGGTCACACGCTTCAGTCACACACAACACCGGTCACGCACTTCAGTCACACACAACACCGGTCACACGTTTCAGTTACACACAACACCGGTCACGCACTTCAGTCACACACAACACCGGTCACACGCTTCAGTCACACACAACACCGGTCACGCACTTCAGTCACACACAACACCGGTCACACGTTTCAGTTACACACAACACCGGTCACACGTTTCAGTCACACACAACACCGGTCACGCACTTCAGTCACACACAACACCGGTCACACGCTTCAGTCACACACAACACCGGTCACGCACTTCAGTCACACACAACACCGGTCACGCACTTCAGTCACACACAACACCGGTCACACGCTTCAGTCACACACAACACCGGTCACGCACTTCAGTCACACACAACACCGGTCACGCACTTCAGTCACACACAACACCGGTCACACGCTTCAGTCACACACAACACCGGTCACACGCTTCAGTCACACACAACACCGGTCACACGCTTCAGTCACACACAACACCGGTCACACGTTTCAGTCACACACAACACCGGTCACGCACTTCAGTCACACACAACACTGGTCACATATTTCAGTCACACACAACACCGGTCACACGCTTCAGTCACACACAACACCGGTCACGCACTTCAGTCACACACAACACCGGTCACACGCTTCAGTCACACACAACACCGGTCACACGCTTCAGTCACACACAACACCGGTCACACGTTTCAGTCACACACAACACCGGTCACGCACTTCAGTCACACACAACACCGGTCACACGTTTCAGTCACACACAACACCGGTCACGCACTTCAGTCACACACAACACCGGTCACACGTTTCAGTCACACACAACACCGGTCACGCACTTCAGTCACACACAACACTGGTCACATGTTTCAGTCACACACAACACCGGTCACACGCTTCAGTCACACACAACACCGGTCACGCACTTCAGTCACACACAACACCGGTCACACGCTTCAGTCACACACAACACCGGTCACGCACTTCAGTCACACACAACACCGGTCACACGTTTCAGTCACACACAACACCGGTCACACGCTTCAGTCACACACAACACCGGTCACGCACTTCAGTCACACACAACACCGGTCACACGCTTCAGTCACACACAACACCGGTCACACGTCTCCGTCACACGCAACAGTGTTCACGCGCAACACCGGTCACACGTCTCCGTCACACCCCACAGCGGTCACGCGCAACACCGGTTCAGTCACTCGCTTCAGTCACACACAACACTGGTCACATGCTTCAGTCACACACAACACCGGTCACACGCTTCAGTCACACACAACACCGGTCACACGCTTCAGTCACAGACAACACCGGTCATGCACTTCAGTCACACACAACACTGGTCACGCGCAACACCGGTCACACGTCTCCGTCACACGCAACAGCGGTCACGCGCAACACCGGTTCAGTCACACGCTTCAGTCTCACACAACACCGGTCACACGCAACAGCGTTCACGCGCAACACCGGTCACACCCCACAGCGGTCACGCGCAACGCCCGTCATGCACAACACAACACCGGTCATGCACAACACAACACCGGTCACGCGCAACGCCGGTCACGCGCAACGCAACACCGGTCACGTGCAACGCAACACCGGTCACGCGCAACGCAACACCGGTCACGCGCAACGCAACACCGGTCACGCGCAACGCAACACCGGTCACGCGCAACGCAACACCGGTCACGCGCAACGCAACACCGGTCACGCGCAATGTGTCACTCATATGGAGTCACAGTTAACCTAGCTGCACTTCCATTGTACTAAATTGAAATGTGTGTCCAGTTTGTCCTGGCAGTGTGAAGAACATCATTAACCAGTTTGAGAATCTCACAGACACTCCAAGAGAGGAGGTGGATGAGACTGTGGACCCCCAGAGACTGTCCTCCAGCAGCCTGGGAGAAGAAGACATGGACAGGTGACTGATTTAGCTAGAATTGTCGTAATGTGTAGTGCCGTAACAATCGTGTAGCTCTCAGACTCACCCACCTTCTCCCCCAGTCCGATGGTCTCAGTGCGTCTGGCACGCAGCGAGTCTCTGAAGGCTCAGGGAGAACGCCGGCGGCGGTGCGCCACCTCAGGAGGAGACTCTGTGCCCCGCTCTCGAAGCGACGTGGACATGGAGGACTGCGAAGAGGAGCGGGACCAACCAGGCCTCCGACCCCTGCAGCACAGCGCCTCTTCATCAGCATCCAGCTGTTCCGCTCGGTAAACGGCCGCTGATTCTTCCTCCGTTTCTGTTAGCGGCAGCCTGCAGACAGGAGCCTCAGAACCAAAAGCACTACCCTGCAATTACCCCCAACAGTGTAGGTCCTGTCCTCATGCCATCTCTCTCTCCACTGTCTCACACTCAGGTCTTTTGAGAACCCTACTCCCCCATACACCCCTCGGTCTAGACGCAGGTGAGTCAGCGGGTCACTCCAACAGGGGCCCAGTGAAACATCAGCAGAGCTTAAGAAAATCAAGAATGATAGTTGAATCAACTTTATTCTGTTTTGTTTGTGGTCTTGGATCTAATCAAAGCCGCGGGTTCATCTACGCTGTCTCTTCTACCTGTTTCTAGGAGCGTGGACTCACCACTGGCCCTGCTGCCAGATGCTGCAGCGCTGGAGGACGATGTATGTGAGGGCCAGAACTGGCAAGACACTGTTCCTGCTCAGCTCCTCTCAACGCTCAGCCCGAGGGAGGTGGACAGGCAGGCCGTCATTTATGGTACTCTTTGTTTTAATGCTCGAAATAAGCTTAAATCTGTTATATCCAATCTACAGAACAAGCTAGTTTCTGAACGCGTTTAGCACGCAGCGCTCCTCCGTGAGAGCGGCCCTGTATCAGTCGGCAACCGGTGCTCCTGTTGTCAGGTCGGCCGGATGTTCATCTCTGCAGGGAAACGAGGCGGGCACGGGCATTACTCCTTCATCTCGATGTCCTCGGTGTCCATTCGCTGGAACGCCTGCAGCCTCTCCCGTGCGCTCCCACGGACACCTGCTGTATCCCCGGTGCCTTGTGGCCCCTCCACGCTCGTCTGCAGCAGGTTGTTGATCATCTCCGCCGTGATGCCTTTGGACTTTCTTACGGCCACCGGTCCCACCGTGTATCCGCGTCTTCTTAAATCCACTGCCGCTTCCTTCGCGCTGTTGTACAGAGCCGTTCCCGAGTCAAAGTGAACCCACGTTTTAGCGAGCGGGGTCTGGAACCGAATGGTGTTTTTTTAAGTGCTTTTTTCACCGGGCCACACTCTTTCCTCTTCATTTGTATGTTTTCGGCATAGTTGTGATAAAAGAAAATCCGCTTCTCGTTTATATATAGGCTTCTTCCCTGCAGCGTGAAGCATTTGCTCTTTAGTGCTGAACTTTAAGAAGCGCACCACCAGGGAGGTGCGTCCGGCTGCGCTCCCAGCGCCTGATGGGCTCTCTCTATCCCCAAGTTCTTCTCGCTAGCCAGGTCCACACCGTCCCCCAGCTCCGACATCATCATGCTTTCCACATACCTTGACATGGAGGTGCCTTCAGTGTTCTCGGGGATGCCACATATCCGTATGTTGTTACGGCGCGAGTGCCCCTCTAGATCTGTCGCCTTCTCCTGAAGCAGTCGCTGGTTGACCAGCAGCATCTCTCACCCCAATGTCTCATGGCTTCCCTGTATAATAAAAGGATGAACACAGATGCCACACACCTGCAGTCTGCCCTTGCAGCACCGCTCACGCACCCCCCCGATCGCTGTGGAAGACGGGAGGGGGAGGCATGCCTGGGACAATATTACAGTAATGTGATGGGACCTGAACGGTTGGTGGGGACAGATCTGTAAAAAAGGAGGAAAGAAAAACAAACAGCGCTCGTGAGAGGTGAGGGGATGAGTGTGAGCAGGACACGCAGGAAGTGAGCCGACTGTGGCAAGCCGTTTTAACATTTAATCAGCAATCGGACCCTTCTGGAAATCCCATTTTATACAGGAATAATGCAAATCCGAAGATAATCCGATCCATGACTCATAACCACGTCGCTTTTCTAGCTCCAGACGTCTTTTGTCGTTCGAGACTTCAGATGGTATTTTGCTTTTTGGGACTCTGGTTGTTTGTCCTAAAGTTGAAGTGGTAGCAGCCGGCTGTTTCTCCTCTGATATTATTGAGCCACAAACCTCACAGCAGTGGTGTTCTGCTGTTAAATACGTGAATGTGTAGTGAATGCAGGACCCAGGGACGCGTGGCGAGACCGACTATCAGATGGTCCGATAGTTGCTTTTGCTCTAAAACGTGTTGTTAGTGGAGGTTTTTAGACGAATGCAGGAGAACAACTTTATCAACACAAAGTATTCATAGCTCTTCTGTTAGAAGAGGCATGAAAAACTCTGTTGAAGTTCATTTGTTTTCCTACTGCAACTTTAAGATCCTTATAAATGTTTTTTCTTTTTAATAATGCTGCTTACGTTCCTTCAGAGCTCTTCACCACCGAGGTGTCCCACCTACGAACGCTGCGAGTCCTGGACAAGGTTTTCTTCCAGAAGCTGAGGTCTGTGCTGAGTTCCGAGGAGCTGGCCTGCATCTTCCCAAACCTGCCTCAGGTCTACGAACTCCACGGTGGGTCGTCACGTCTGCGGCAGGAAACGTTTAACCCCACCCAACATGTGGTGGAGGGAATGAGTGGAAGCGTTATCCTTGTTTCTACTCGGATGTTGTGGAAGTTTAGACGTTCATTTTAATCTCTAAAGAGGCAGAAAAGTTAGCTGTAATTCTTTAGTCTTCGGGATTCGGGATAACGGAGCAGTATTGTACTAGCTTGTACCTCCTGCTGCTAAACGGGACAGAAAACCACCAACATGGCTCCTAAAGCCTGAGTTAGCCTAGACCCGGCGCTGGCTGGACTCCATGGTTGCAAAGAACCAGTTCAGTCAGGATCTGGAGACTGGAGGAGACCAAACTGGTTCTTACCCGGTTCTAGAGAGCCGGTTCAGACCCATCAGCCCTGGTCGAACTCCGGAACCTTTACTGAACAAACCTGAAAGTTTAAATCCTAAAAGCCCCAACTCGGCATCAGAACACGTCAAACTCACCATCTGGGGGTATTTAATCTGATTTGTAGCTCAAAGGTGTCAAAAAGAGGTTTTTACTCTAAAAGTAAAACCCGTAGCAGACTGAAGGGGAAATGGCGGTTCTTGTGTCATCACCTACATGTACAGCGCTACGAATTTAATCAGCAGTTAAATGAACAGAACAGTTTCCAGATTTTGGGTTTTATTGAACACGTGTTCAACTCCATAACATGAAACTAAGGTAAATATTATAACTTAGAGGAAAAATCTTCACTTTTACTAAAATTGGTTGAAGCAAAAATGAATCCACCCACAACAAAAACTCCTACATCTAGTGTTTTGTACGACCACCGTGCTTTTCAAGGTCAGCACCAAGTCTTCTAGGCTTGGAGTGAACAAGTTGGCGACATATTACAACATCTTTCTGTTTCCATTCTTCAGTAAGAACCTCTTTTAGAGCCTGGATGGAGAGTGATGCTCAACTTGCTGCTTCAGAATTCCCCACAGGTGTTGGATTGGGTTCAGATCAGGAGGCATGCTTGGGCATTCAGTCACCTTCACCCTGTTCTTCAGAAATGCAGCAGTAGCTTTAGATGTGCGTTTGGGATCGTTGTCGTGTTGGAAAAGTGCACGACGACCACGTGCACGACACGATGGCAGCATCTTCTCCTTCAGCATAGAGCAGTACATTGTAAAGTTCTTGATACCATCAATGAAATCAGCTCCCCAACACCAGCGGCACTCATGCAGCCCACATGATGGCACCGCCACCACCGTGTTTCACCATAGGCACCATACATTTCTCTTTGAAATCCTCACCTTTAAAGTTAAAGTCCCATTAGTTGTCACACACACTGATGTGTGTGCGACATTTGTTCTCCGCATTTGACCCATCCCCTGGGGGAGCGGTGAGCTGCAGACACAGCCGCGCTCGGGAACCATTTGGTGGTTTAACCCCCCAATCCAACCCCTTAATGCTGAGTGTCAGGCAGGGAGGCGTTGAGTCCCATTTTTTTCTAAGCCTTTGGTATGACCCGACCAGGAATTGAACCCTGATCTCCCAGTCTCCGGGCGGACACTCTACCACTAGGCTACTGAGCTGGTAACGACGCCGTACAGTTAAAAAACAGATCTTTGTCTCATCACTCCAGAGTCTAGAGTCCCAGTAGTCTTTATCTCTTCCAGCATGGGCCCTAGCAAATCCTAGGTGTGCTTTTTTGTACGTGGGCTTTAGGACAGGCTTCCTTCATGAACGATCCCCATGCATGCCATTCCTCTGCAGTGTGCACCGTATGGTGTCACGGAGAACGGTCACTCCAGTTGGGCTTTCTACTGCTTTAGCGAACTGCAGTGAACCTGCATGGAGATTTTCTTCAACCTTTCTCATCAGAAGATGCTCCTGTCCAGATGTAAACTTCCATAGACGGCCTGGACGTCTCTGTAAGATGGTTGAACTTCCATCTTTCTTAGATGTGTGGCTCACTTTTGCTACAGCGTTCTGACTGATATGTGAAGCTCTGCTGATCTTCTTGTAGTCCTCACCTTTTTTGTGTTAAGAAATCATTTTCTTTCTCATATTTTGTGACATTCCTCTTCCACGTGGAAATGAGAAAGGCTTTTCTTTGTTAAGTAACGTCCGTTTACAGTGGGGCAAAAAAGTATTTAGTCAGCCACCGATTGTGCAAGTTCTCCCACTTAAAATGATGACAGAGGTCAGTAATTTACATCATAGGTACATTTCAACTGTGAGAGACAGAATGTGAAAAAAAATCCATGAATTCACATGGCAGGATTTTTAAAGAATTTATTTGTAAATCAGGGTGGAAAATAAGTATTTGGTCAATAACAAAAATTCAACTCAATACATTGTAACATAACCTTTGTTGGCAATAACAGAGGTCAAACGATTACTATAGGTCTTTACCAGGTTTGCACACACAGTAGCTGGTATTTTGGCCCATTCCTCCATGCAGATCTTCTCGAGAGCAGTGATGTTTTGGGGCTGTCGCCGAGCAACACGGACTTTCAACTCCCTCCACAGATTTTCTATGGGGTTGAGGTCTGGAGACTGGCTAGGCCACTCCAGGACTTTCAAATGCTTCTTACGGAGCCACTCCTTTGTTGCCCGGGTGGTGTGTTTGGGATCATTGTCGTGTTGGAAGACCCAGCCACGTTTCATCTTCAAAGCTCTCACTGATGGAAGGAGGTTTTGGCTCAGAATCTCACGATACATGGCCCCATTCATTCTGTCCTTAACACGGATCAGTCGTCCTGTCCCCTTAGCAGAAAAACAGCCCCAAAGCATGATGTTCCCACCCCCATGCTTCACAGTAGGTATGGTGTTCTTGGGATGCAACTCAGTATTCTTCTTCCTCCAAACACGACGAGTTGAGTTCATACCAAAAAGATCTACTTTGGTTTCATCTGACCACATGACATTCTCCCAATCCTCTGCTGTATCATCCATGTGCTCTCTGGCAAACTTCAGACGGGCCTGGACATGCACTGGCTTCAGCAGCGGAACACGTCTGGCACTGCAGGATTTGATTCCCTGCCGTTGTAGTGTGTTACTGATGGTGACCTTTGTTACTGTGGTCCCAGCTCTCTGCAGGTCATTCACCAGGTCCCCCCATGTGGTTCTGGGATTCTTGCTCACCGTTCTCATGATCATTTTGAGCCCACGGGATGAGATCTTGCGTGGAGCCCCAGATCGAGGAAGATTATCAGTGGTCTTGTATGTCTTCCATTTTCTGATAATTGCTCCCACAGTTGATTTTTTCACACCAAGCTGCTTGCCTATTGTAGATTCACTCTTCCCAGTCTGGTGCAGGTCTACAATTCTTTTCCTGGTGTCCTTCCAAAGCTCTTTGGTCTTGGCCATAGTGGAGTTTGGAGTCTGGCTGTTTGAGGCTGTGGACAGGTGTCTTTTATACAGATAATGAGTTCAAACAGGTGTCATTAATACAGGTAACGGGTGGAGGACAGAAAAGCTTCTTAAAGAAGACGTTACAGGTCTGTGAGAGTCAGAGATTTTCCTTGTTTGAAGTGACCAAATACTTATTTTCCACCCTGATTTACAAATAAATTCTTTAAAAATCCTGCCATGTGAATTCATGGATTTTTTTTTCACATTCTGTCTCTCACAGTTGAAGTGTACCTATGATGTAAATTACTGACCTCTGTCATCATTTTAAGTGGGAGAACTTGCACAATCGGTGGCTGACTAAATACTTTTTTGCCCCACTGTATAGTCACCTGTCTGCTGAACACCTCTGAAATGAACCATGAGACCCACCTGTGGTTGAATGCCTTTTCTCCTACGATCATAATTAGGGTGTACTATTTTGCAACATGGGCTTGAATAGATTTGTTTGGAAAATCACTGTTTTGTGTGTGAAAATTAACAAATCTTGTTTGCAATCAATGTCTCCCACTAGTGGGAGTATAGTAGTAGTAGTAGTAGTAGTAGTAGTAATAGTAGTAGTAATAGTAGTAGTTGTAGTAGTAGTTGTAGTAGTAGTAGTAGTAGTAGTTGCAGTAGTAGTAGTAGTAGTAGTAGTAGTTGTAGTAGTAGTAGTTGTTGTAGTAGCATTAGTAGTAGTAGTAGTAGTTGTAGTAGTTGTTGTTGTAGTAGTAGTAGTAGTAGTTGTTGTAGTAGTAGTTGTTGTTGTAGTAGTATTAGTAGTAGTAGTAGTAGTTGTAGTGGTAGTCGTATTAGTAGTATTAGTAGTAGTTGTAGGAGTAGTAGTAGTAGTATTAGTAGTAGTTGTAGTAGTAGTAGTTGTTGTAGTAGCATTAGTAGTAGTAGTAGTAGTTGTAGTAGTTGTTGTTGTAGTAGTAGTAGTAGTAGTTGTTGTAGTAGTAGTTGTTGTTGTAGTAGTATTAGTAGTAGTAGTAGTAGTTGTAGTGGTAGTCGTATTAGTAGTATTAGTAGTAGTTGTAGGAGTAGTAGTAGTAGTATTAGTAGTAGTTGTAGTAGTAGTAGTAGTAGTATTAGTAGTATTAGTAGTAGTTGTAGTAGTAGTAGTATTAGTAGTAGTTGTAGTAGTAGTAGTAGTAGTATTAGTAGTAGTTGTAGTAGTAGTAGTAGTAGTAGTATTGTGTAGTTCGGTATCTGACAAAGTGTTGAGTCTGAAAGGAAACTAAAGGCTTTCTGAGGGTGGGGTGTACTCATGCTGAGCACTGTGTGTTTGATCAGGTTTTACTGAGTGTAACCAGGTGTTGCAGTATTTAAGTACTACCAGCCTGTAGTGTTGAGCTTCTTCCTTCTTTAGGTTGAATCTAAACTGTTTGTGCATCACTTCCTCTCAGCGAGTCTTTGTGAAGCCATGAAGAAGCAGAGAGAGTCTGCCATTGTTCAGGACATTGGAGGCGTCATGGTGGCCAGGGTGAGTAGCTGTTGTGGAAGGTGTGTGTGTGTGCTGTGTTTAGCACTGTAACCGTGTGGTGTGTGTGGTCAGTTTGAAGGGACAGCTGGCAGCGAGTTTCAGGAACAGGCCTCGCTGCTGTGCTGCCAGCAGACTCGGGCTCTGGATCTCATCAAGAACAAGAAACGCAAGGATCCTCGCTTCGCCCAGATCATCCAGGTGGGTTAGACGATGTTCATACGGCTCTACCGTTTCTGCCTTCACGTCAGGCTTTAAGGCTTTAGTTACTGATGGTGCTCATGGAGCGCATCCATCCATAAGAATTAAAGCATTTCTACTCATTTAGTTTGGTCTCCGTTTCTCCCCTTTGTTCTTCACCGCTGTAGGATTCATGATTTCCTCGTGAATCCCATCAGAACATAAAAGAGTAAAACGCCAAAGATTCACTAGATTTCATTCAGGCTTTAGCTCAAACTTTTCTTTTCCAGACAGGAAGTGACAGGAAGTCTCCTGTCTGCTTTTTAATTCAAGGAATGACGGATGTTTGTGTGGTTTCTATGGCAACCCTGATGAGCCACCAGCAGCAGCTTTAACATTTGCTTTGTACATAATTATACATCAAGACATAAATATTTATCTTTGCACAGATTACAGCAAAGCTTAACATCAACGTCCTTTAATGTTTCCTACTGTGGTTGCTATGGTAACTGTTATCTCATACGTGATCTGTGGTCTCACTCAAACATAAAAGAGCAAGCCGTTTCTGGTTTACCGATGGTTTTATTCCCATGCCGGCCGCCCCCCCTTTGCTTTAGGAGTGTGAGGCGAGTCCTCAGTGTCGGAGGCTGCAGCTCAAAGATCTGCTGGTGTCTGAGATGCAGAGACTCACCAAGTACCCGCTGCTCCTGGACAACATCATCAAGTACACAGAGGGTGAGGAGGCAAATCGTGAAAGCTGGTCAAAATGGTTCCATAAAGGTGGTTGGCTAGATGTTCCTGTTTTACCTGCAGCTGGTTCGTCAGACCTCCCACCGCTTCAGCACGCTCAGGCTTGTTGCCGTGGGATACTGCAGGCAGTCAACGAGGACGTCAGGGAGGCGGAGCATCGGCAACGTCTCAGTCAGTACCAGCGCAGGCTGGACGCTGCTCCTCAGTTCAAGGTGACACCAGAGGTTCTGTTATTTCCTGCTGCTGCCAAGGTCACGAGTTAACGTGGCAATGTTTCCCTGCAGCACCTGGACCTCACCACCAAGAGGATGATTCATGAAGGTCCTCTCATGTGGAGGATCGGCAAAGACAAGCAGATAGGTCTGTAATCCTGGGGTTGACATGTCCACAACCTGTCCACAGCACTAATGGTGCCTCGCTCCTCAGAGGTCCAGGCTCTGCTGCTGTCAGATTACCTCGTCCTGCTGCAGAGAGCCCCAGACGACCGGCTGCAGCTACGTTATCCATCCCGCTGGCTGGGAGGCGGAGGAGGAGGAGGAAGCATTGGAGACAGCAAGACCTCCTTCAGCCCTCTGTTGAAGCTGGAATCGTTGTTCGTCCGCTCCGTCGCTACAGGTGCCCCCGAAGCGTTCTTCAGCGAGGACACCTTTTGAGCTCGGAGGGGTTTTGTAACAACAACGATTTTCCTTTCTAGACGTCAGAGCTCTGTTCATCCTCAGCACCACGGAGAACCAGATGTACGAGCTGGGGATGGCAACACAGTCGGAGAAGAGCACGTACGCCGTTTCCTTCCTCTCCAACTTTACACTCGAGCCTTTCACCCCCAGAAACACATTTTTATGTCTGTGTCTGTTTGGACGGTGAGCTCATTGTTTTCGTCACACAGCTGGAAAGATTTGCTTGACAAGGCCATCGTTTGCGCTGGAGGCTCGTTGCACGTCAACCACGGATCGCACAAAATCTCGTAAGTCTGCTAAGATCACACGTACGGCTCTTCTGTTTCAGATGTGATCTTCTGTGCTTTTTGGTGCTTCGTCTCGTAGGATTCCCCCCAGTTCTCCCAGTCTGCGCAGCGCGTCGCCCGTCTCAACAGGAAGTGAAGTCACTGAGGGTAAAAACCACACCTGAGGGTGATGTCCACTGAGCCCTCATGCAGCCCAGCCTAAAGCAGTTCTTACTTCTTCACCAGACGCCTCCACGGCACGGCCGTGTGACTCTCCTGAGACCCGGGCCTACAGCGACGACATCTCTCAGCACACGCCCACGGACCCATCAGGAGCCGCCAACTATGAGGAAAAACAGGAAGTGTGTGTGGCAGAAGCTGCTTTACAAGACGGTGGGTTCAAATCAGGTCACGTTCACACGTAGCTAGGTTCTTGTAAAACGGATCTAGGACAGAAGCTCCTGGTTTACAGCAGACACTCCAGCGGAGCGGCTTCCATGCCTGTAGGCAGCAGCAGTTCTCCAAACCCTCGGATTAACCGGGTGGCGAGCGATACCGTCGTTAATGCCGTCTGTCGCCTGTGGTCTTCTACGTGGAGCACGTCTCCACTTTGGTCCGAGTTTGTGAAAGATCAGTGTTAGTCTTCACGTTGGTGTGGGACGCCCGGCTACGTGTGGACAGGGTCTCGGACCGCGTGTCTCTTCTGCTAAACGGAGAGATTCATGTTTACATTTAAAACTTTCCTCAGTTGAAACTCTGCGGCAGCTCATATTACAAGATCTGGATGAGGATGGGTGGAGCCACAACTCGGATGACACGCCCACTAACGAGATGACCAACGGAGGGAGATCACTGACTGAAACAGAGCAACCCGACTCCCTGGAGACCATCCTCGGTGTTGAGGAGGAGGAGTCCAACGGGGCTCCGCCCTCTGACACCACGCAGCCCAGCGTTAAGGTCGTGAGGAAAGGTAACTTCAGGAAGCTGACGCCGGTTCTTTCTGGTCTTTTCTCCTCGTGGTTTTTGTTTATTTGATATAAACTCAGCCCGGTTGATAACTCTGGGTGTCTGCAGGTCTCTGCATGAATCTGCTTCTGTGATTTATTGGTTTCTTTGATTTGCTGCTTCTCTGAAACGCACCGACACGCTGATCTTTCTTCTTCTCCTCACCTCTGAACACTTTCCAACTCACTTTTCTTTACACACACTATCCTCTATCTGTGTGTAGCTGTGGTTGCGGGTCCTCCTTCTTCTTCTCTCCCCGATGGCATCACTGATGATGTTAGCCTCCCCCCCGATCAGTCCTCCAGCTCTAGAGGCGAGGCCCGAGTGCAGGGTAATAACGACCGAACCGGTCACGCGCTGCCGTCTCTATCAAAAAATCTGTTGTTTCTGGAATTATAATCTGTAGTCTCTGATGACGGTAAGCCACTCACTAGTCACACCTCTGGTTCTTAGGGAACACGTTCTACCTGGTGATGCCCTCAGAGCAGGGGGAGAGCTTCACCGATGACCTCAGCGACCCCCCTACACCCACCGCCAGCCACTTCCCTCCTGTGGAGGAAGTGATGCCGCTGCAGACACAACCCGAGGAGGACACCTGCTGCCCAGAGCTCAACCAATCAGAGGCTATGCAACAGAACGAGGAGGAGGAAGCAGAACAAATGGCCCCGTCGAAGTCTGGGCCACGGAAATGCGTGATTAAGAATGCGGATGAGATTTTTTTCACAATCGAGGCGCTGATGAGAAAGTTGCACAAGCTGAAGGTGAGTGTGTTGTTTTTGGATATTTATAGTTTGTTCACTTTTAGAGAAACTCTGTCAGAACTTAGATCTTCTAAAAAATCACTCAGCTTCGTAAAGTCCATCACAACATTTACAACCTCCTAAAACACCAGATCAGTCACGTCAGGCCATGTAGAGGTGCTGTGTGTGTGTGTGTGTGTGTGTGTGTGTGTGTGTGTGTGTGCGTGCGTGCGTGCGTGCGTGCGTGCGTGCGTGCGTGTGTGTGTGTGCGTGCGTGCGTGCGTGCGTGCGTGCGTGGACGGAGTTCTTGAACAAAGCCCATCAGCAAGCAAATAAAAAAGATTTCTAAGGACCAACCACCTTTCTTCAGGCTCCGCCCCCGAGTTGCAGGATCTGATGGTAACAGAAGTTTCTGTTTTTGCAGTAGACGGTACGTCTACTGCAAAAACAGAACGTTATCTCACGGTTTTGACATTTTTTGCCGTGACTCCCAACATAACGCTCGTATGGAGCTGAGTAACAGTTTAGTGTGCTAGCATAAAACCGCTAAGCATAAAACCACCCGATCGCTCCCGAGCACGGCCATGGCTGCTGCTCACCGCTCGCCACGGGGATGGGTCAAAGGCGGGGGACGATTTTCACGACACTAGTGTGTGTGACTGGGACTTTAATATGTACTGTGGTGTTTTTATGCTCAAAACGAAGCTTTTTTTTCAGCTTCTTGGTTCATTCTTACCTTCAGAGTCACAGCAGCTCAGTGCCACCGACAGTGTGGGAAAAACTCTAAACCAGTCAAAACCTTCTGAACCAGACGCAAGCCTCCTGAGAGCTGCTCACACACACACACACACACACACACACACACACACACACACACACACACACACACACACACACACACACACACACACACGTGCGCATGCCAGCCGACAGACTTGAGACAGAGCTGTGTTACACTGGGCAGTCTGTTTCTGGCTTCACTTCCTGTTGGCTGCTCCCAGCCGAGAATGCATGATTCATGCAGGAGGAGGGACGTCCATAATGACTGGATGAGGTTTTTCCCAGATTGTGTGTTTCAGACATTAAAAACCTAATCATCCAGATGTTAATGTGATGATGAGGCAGCTGGCTTCACATGGTAAACTCTGAGAGTTTCATTAAAAGCCGTCCAGCCCAGGAGACACACTGTCTCCCACCTTCTGCCATTCAGAGTGTTGTATTCACTCTGAACCTGAAGATGTGGTGATGGTTCCATTTCTGAATGGCGGCTCTTTGGTGTGGGAGCCACTTGGAGCATTAGGAAGTCTAGAGGACGTTTCACAGTTGAAGTGTTTAAACCTAAACTAGTAAAAGCTGACAAAACAAAACAAAGGGACTTGTTTGTGTCTGGAGCTGCATCTATTCAGTAATCTCTGTCCATGGCTGCTGTCTACAGAGGCATCTGAAGGACCATCTCGCTTTAGAAACCTAGATGATGAGCTAATTTTGATCAGTTTTAAACATTAAACATGTCCTTCACACTAAAGATGACATCTGGAACGAAACACACTGTTTAACAGAAGTAGGACCAAACTTTGGACTCGTTTTGATTTATTAAGAAAGCTGGGAAGTGCAACTCTTAATTTTAGATCATTTCTTGGTAATAAGTTTGGTTTTTCTCTCTTATGTGATAAATATTTTAGTGATTTTGACGTTTACAGGAAGTTGAGATGGCCCACAACAAACTCCTGGAAACTCTCCGTGACCCTTCATTCAGTCTGGAGTCGGAGGACCAGCCTTGTCACTTGGCAACCGTCTCCAGGACGCCCTCTATGGACCGCAGCTCAGGAGACGGTGAGGGAATCAGCCCCTTTGAGTCTCACTGAACTAGTTACACTTAACAGGAAGGTTCGGCTATTTGTAAGATATCACGAAAACGGTCTTATGTCTGCTTACGGACCTTGTAATCATCCTTTCATTATCTGAGCTGCTTCATCCTCACTAGGGTCACAGGGAGCTGGGGCCCAACTCCAGCGGTCATCGGGCAAGGGACACCAGGGTTAGTCTCCAGTGTTTGGTCTGCGGGAGGAAACCGGAGCACCAGAAAAACCCACAGATGCATGGGAGAACAGTCTAACTCCCCCTCATAATAATAGTTTTAAGGAATTTATTAAGATTTTTGAACAAGTTGACATTAAAGTACTTTTTATTCCCCCGTCTGACGTTTGGTTCAAGTGGGGAAGGACAGAGTTCCAGCAGTCGTGTGAATGTTCTTGTCTGTTTAGTCAACATTTGTCCTCATCTGGTCGTTCATATTATTTAACCCTCAGGCTTCACTTTAATTTACTTGGGTCATTAGAAGACAAAAACGTCCGCTTGTAAAAGTGGCAATAAAAAATGGATACATTAATATTTTTTCATAGATCTGTTAAACAACTTCAGCCCTGCTCATACGTATAAAAATTTCAGTCCTTTTGAGGCTTTTAACCCGTGAAACGCCAGTTTGAATACTCAACAACACAAAAAATGAGTTATTTTCCAAAAAAAAACACCAACTTTTTCTTCCTGGGGCATTATTATAAATCGGTCTTGGTCATGTTATGAAATATTTGAAAAATATAAAGTTTTGCATAAATTTTTTTTTTGTAGCAACAGATTGATCTTAGCAGACAAAAACATCCCATTGACTTCCATTCAAACCACAGTTTTTGATTCTGTAACATCTGCAAGAAATAATCATGCTTTCTGTGATGTTAGGGTTTCATTTTGGAGAAAAGTGGTCAAATTTATGATTTTTACTGTTCATCACCAAATCAATCAATCAATACTTTATTAATCCCAGAGGGAAATGAGAGTTTCAGTACACACAATTCAGAGATCAGACATACATGGGCAAGACACATGACAAGAATTGGTGACTGTGGTCATTCGCAACCCTGAGTCACGCTACCTTAATAGAGATAAGAGGGTTACATGAGGATTGGTTCAGGTGGAGGGAAAAAAAAGGCACTTCTGAGTTACCCTCCACTGGGAGGGCAGCTTTGTTATGCAAAAAAAACACCTCAACAGAAATGCAACAGACTTCAGACATCACAACATAACATGAGACCTCAATAGGAGGGGGGGGGGGCTTGGATGGGATCCTGTAACCCCCAGCAAGAGCAGCTATCTAAATGTTGGTTTATGCTTGACGCATCCGCGAGGTCCGCACGGCTCCGCGCAGCGAAATTGCGTCATTTTAACAACCACGCCCCTCCACCGCGTCTCCACACGGCCCAAAATTTCCGCAACGCGCACCTAGGAAAATTTCTAACCACGCGGACGGTCGGACGCGGACAAACATGGCGGACCGGCAAGAACTAGTATGGCAGAGGTTCGTAAATACAGACATTTGTATGATTCAGCTCTCAGAGATCACCGTGATCAACATGTTGTTAATAATTCTTGGAGAGAAATAGCTCGCACTGTCGGAAAAGACGAGAACGCTGTTAAAAATGCTGAAATGCCATGTTGTAAACAGTCATTTTTACTTCTACAATGGTGTAGTGTTGGATGCATGCCGTAGAGCTCCATGCTGCCCCCTACAGTTTGTTGAGAATATTGGCTCACCGCAGAGACAAGCCGCATGAACCATAAACGCTGCGAGTTGTGAAGCGCTTTCCAGCCGCGAGCTGCATCACCGCGCGGAAAGTGAATGCGTCAAGCATAAACCAAGCTTAAGGCGCTCATCTACTGTACAGTCACAAGTGGGAGGGAGATCTTGGGAGAAGCAAAGAGCACATTGACTCCTACAGATTGATGACCTCGCCAGGCTGAAGTCCACCAATCCAAAAGCGGGGGCAGGGTAGGTCAGGTTTTCACAGCATCTGTCTGCATTCCTTCGTGGGGGTTTTAGTTGCTTGCAGCTCAAGGCTACCAGGACGTCAGATTCAGATAACAAGACTTTGTTTGGGTCAGGTTGAGATAATTTTCCTCCTGCCTTGAATCTA